CAAATAAAGAAGGCTGTACGTATCATATACTCGATTTTATCATAAGATGATCAAATTGATTTAAGGATTAGACTCACCGCACTATCGGCTGCGAGTCCCTAAAACTATTGCATGCAGCACTCTTATTTTCGTTGATAAAGTGCTTCAGTCGCTCCTCCATTTGCTGGGTGGCCTTGGGAAAACGCTCCTTGTACAAAGTGTTCATCACAGCAATCTCATTGTCCACGATGGGTGAACGCGATGGGCTGGACAGCGACCGGGACCGCGGACGAAAGTAGGGCGACATACGACCTCCAACTTGCATTGCACTCGAGGCGGAGCTATTCGCTGATGAACCACCATTACCAGCACCAGCACCAGCACCACCACCTGCTTTCTGACCACCACAGGTTTCGCTTAGCTCGGCACAGCAATTAACACACGCCGCTGTCATCGGTTTCTGGGGCTGCAGCTGCGATGGCTTCAGTTGGGGCATCAGTTGCTTCTGGGAAACAGCTAGCAACAGCGCACAGTGCTTGGGACAATGCTGTTTGAGGTGTTCGGCGCAGCAGGCACCGGCGGCTACGGCAGCGGCATCCGCCTCCTGCACTCCGGGCGGAATGTTGTGCGCCAACTGGTTGAGACCCTCCTGACTCGAGCACTGAGACTGTGATACATGAAACAATTTAATAATTAACGTAAATACACTTGGTTTGGATTATCTAAACGAACTTACCGATAAATTGGAGCTGCCAGGCGTGGTTCCGTACCCCGAAGAGGGCAGCGAGGCCACGGACCAGCGACGTCCGTCTGCGACAACGCCCCGGCACGAGGCGATTCTCTTGATCGGAGCAAATGCAAATGGCATGGGTGAATTGAGGCGCGGACTATCCACGGGACTGGCCGAGTATGGGGAATGGGCGCGGGATCCGCCAGCCGCTGCCACGGTAGCCGCGTTGGTGACCAAACTTAGGCGATGATGAGCAACTCCACTGGAGGAGCCACCACCGGAACCAGCGCCTCCTCCAGCTGAGCCCCGCATCACAACGCCATGCAAGTGATGGTGATGGTGGTGCTTGGCCAAGCCAATCCCTGCACAGCTGCCCGACCTCGAAATGTTGTGACCGCCCAAGGGAGAAGCCCCAAATCCAGGGGGCTGTACTGGTAACGGAGCGGCCAGTTCATGGCGAAAATAGTTACCCGTGAGGCAGGGAGCTGACTTCCCCAACGACGAGTGACGCATACGCAGCAAGTTGGACGCTTCTGTAATGGAGAATTATGAGTGGAATTATGCTTTAGAAATATTATAATTAATACGTTTCCATCTGAACGCATACAAGGGCAGCCAGACAAACATGATTAATACAATAATATAGGTGTCAATCTTTGGGTGCTAATTAAGTCAGAATTCACATCTTACTAAAACGATAAAAATAGCTTGTAAATATGCGTTTTTTTTAATCAAAGCTAATATTATCGTTATTGTGGAAAGATAGGATTGTAAACCTTACTTTCGTAGCAAAATCTTTTCATAATAAATATAAGGTTCTTCGAACGAATTGTGGCGGGGATATTCTCTTACCGCTGCTAACAGCGCGCAACGAGTTGGTGTGCTGCTGATAGGAGATCTTCCGGAGCAAGGCGGTGTATCCCCTAGAGTGCAAAGAACTGGAACTTCCGGATAGACCGCCGGACGAGCTCTTGGTCAGGTTCAGGTTGCGCATCATCGAGGAGCCGTTGGTGCTGTCGTTGCCGATGGATAGCTTGGCCGGCGAGGTGGGCAGCAGCTCCAGTCCGCTGCAGGACTTGACGCTGCTGTTGCAGGAAGACGATGCTGCCGCAAGTGCTGCTGCAGCGGCAGCCGCCTCCTGGTCGGAGTCGTCGAATATGAGTACACGTGCCGAGTAGCTCGACTGCGGGCGTATCCGCGACAGATTGGCCGTGCTCAAGTGCCGCTTGGGAACCGGACTGCCGCTCGTGGTGGCTGTGGTCGTGACGCCACTGCTGCTGTCTGCGGATGCAGATCCCGAAATTGACATGGCCTCGATCTCGCTGGCCACGCTCTGATTGATAAACTCCTGCTCCTGCTGCTCATCGTTCTTTTGCGGCGTTGAGGTGGATATCTTGCTGCCTAGGACAGCACTCACTGAGTGGCTGGACGATGTCGATGATAATGACGATGTGACTGGGCCGGCCGCTCCCTCGGCTGGACGGGATGCAGCTCCCTCCTGGCGACTCATGATCGTGCTGGCTTTGCGTTCGCTCTGATCTTAGCAAGATCGCATGTTGTTGTTTGTCTCCGGGGCTTTGTTGCTTCGACTTTTGGGCATGGCGTCGGCGGCTGCAATAAGAGCAATTAATTAGCATACGGCTGGCAAGGCGCTTCCCAGCTCTCAGTTCCCAGTTAACAGCTCACTTCCCATCCCATACCATACTATCTCCGAAACCCAGACACTGGCAATTGCTTCCACACACAAACCCCTGGCTAATTAATCTCGTTGGGCTGTCACTTTGCACGAGCCGAACAGCAAATCGGTTAAAATGGGATCGAAATATATTAATATGTATTACATACTACACATATTCGTATACGGGAAGCGATCGCCCACCCACTTGGTTCTGGGTGATAGCCCAGAAATTCCACAATGAGCCAGTGCCTGAATGGCTGAATCACAATGACAATGAGTGCAGTGGCAAGGGTGACACGGAAATCTCTTCCAACCGAAATCAAGTTCCGGTGACTCAGATGTCTATTTTGATGACTTAAAAACCATAGTTTTGAGTCAAGAACTTGCACAGAATACAACCAGATCAATTCTACCAATGCTCGTATTTTGCATAACAACTAAAAATATTTTTCCTAACATAATCTGTGGGGAGCAAAACACTTGATTGCCCCACTTTCCTAATAGAAATTCTTAAATTTTCGACCATGAAGTTCAAGTTCAAAAAAAAAGTATCAAGTTCAAAACTTTTTTTTGACTATACAGTACAATTTGAATTGACAAGTTTGAGATAACTTAATATCAACACTTTTTCTAATTTAGATGAAACTATTCAAAGTATTTGTATTGCTTATAACCTTTGCCTACAACGTAAAAATAAATAAATAAATCAATTTATATTGGTATTAGACACATATGTATACGCATTTACATGTTTAGAGATATACTTGGCAACATGGATTCAATAATAATTTCTCAAGTTCATACTAATACATAAATATTCCAAATTTCGAAATTTTAAAAGACATTCGAATTTAATTGTTGTTTTATATTAGTTGTATTGTGTGACTCTTTCCGTAAAATCTGTGTTTGAAAATTCCATATTTTTAAACATACAACCTTCATAAAATCTGAAGTGTTGTAATGTGTCAATGTGTCAATGAAATCAATCATATCATTTTAGAGTTGAAAATGTTAAATACTTTTTTTAAAAGTTTGGCTTAAGCTTAAACGATTATTCATTTTTTAGTTAGACCAGTATCATCATTGAATTAAATATTTACCATTCAGATAAATATTACTAATTTAAGCTACTCATCGCTGTAATTGTTTCTTGTATTAAACTGTTCGTTCCACGACTCCATTTTCCAAAACTTACACGTTTCGGGTGAATTTATATACTCGAAATGCAAACCGAGAAACCCAGTTTCTGTTCCATTGTTTACCCTCGTCGCTGGTCTGAATAAAAGGCCACTAAATTATCGGATTATCTGCAGGTGAGGAGCAAAGCGGAGCATATGGGTTGGGATCGGATTGGATGGGATCGGATCTCGAGACGGCAGGGAGACGGCTACAGCTATATAAGCGCTATAAGCTATACGACACTATATGGCACGATCGTATATGGTGCTCCGAGGTCTCCAAGTACACGTTGTCGTAGTCCGACTTCTGCGGTTATCAGTTTGTTTTCGTTTCGTTTATTTTTGTGTATTTAGTTTAGTGGCATTTATTCACAGACTGTGCGGATTGTACACTATGTACCCACACACGGGCAACGGGGCGTATATTTGTTTAAATTTCGCCCACTCGAGGCGAGACGCGCGAGTTATTCACATGATAATTGGATTCGCAAATGCGACCACCGCTGTTTGCACTGATTTGATTATATTGTGTGGAGCGCCCAGAACAGCAGACACAAAAAATAAATAATAAATAACCAAGGGCAAAGGATTTTCGAGACCAAATTAATTAAACCAAATGGCCAATAGCAACAACAACAACAACATCAGCGAGTGGGGGCTTTGCATTGGTATGGGTAATAGGTAATAGGTGTGTGTGTGTGGGGGCGGCGAAGGAGCCCCACACACACATACAGCACACGAACACCCACAGACGTTGCGATTACGGGGTTTTTGGTACAATAAATTGTCAGTTTCTCACTTTTACATTGCTTAACACTCAATTTGGAAATTTACATTTTATACGCAGCATTTACGATGAGGCAGACACACACACTCGCGTGCCTAGCACGCGATTTAAGGGGTATTACTAAATATTTTTAACAGCGAAAAAATCGTTGTAACAATATCAATCAGCCGAACGGTCACATTACTAGCGATGACAGCCGATGCTGCGAAAGTTATCGAATCACGGCAGTGGTGGCCTACGAATCTTCAGATTCATTTGTCTATTAGTGGCGGGGTATTTGAAAATACAAATAATAACATTATGTACTAGCAAATGAAAACCGCACCTCAGATTTAAGATTGGCACCGTTGTTTCCTAACTACCCAGCTGTTGTTGAGCTAAGATATGTAAACAACTTATCGATTTCAAACGGTACTCTTCAGTGTGGCCAAAGAAAAGCATAACTATCTTATTGCACTTTTTTTTTCAAATATTTGACTAACTTTTAACGGTTCAAAATATTCATTATTTCATACATATTTAAAGTATTTTATATCTGTATATTGAAACTAATTATTATTATATTTTATGATTTTAGTTATCAAGAAATAATGTAATAAAATAAAAAAATTATTTAAAAAAACATCTATTCCTCCAAAAAAAAAATGGCATAAAAATAATAGCCTTCGAGTTTTATTTCAAAAAAGAAAATCATTTCAATTTAAATTTATCAATGATAGAAAGCTATTAATTACAATGTATTAGGTAGTAAAATAATACCAGAGGGATGTGTTTTAAGTCTAGTCATATTCAATGAAATAATATTTCAATTTACAATTTCAAGTTACAATTGAAAGCTTGAAAATTATACGCTTATATTCCTCAATATCTAATTATTTCTAACGGATGAACTATATGTTTTTTACCACTATCAATTTCAATGAATAGGACGCCGGGGACGTACATTTACTAACTTTATTTATTTTTTATGACGCTTTTATAGAGAAAATGTAAATTTACCGCCCTTGCTTAGATTCTCCGTTATTTAGAATAATCAGAATAAAAGCAATTCTATTATTAATGAGAATACAATACAGTGTAACAATTCGTTAGCCATAATTCATGTTTGTACTGTGCGAGGTCTGGTAGGCGCTGGATATGTTCTTCTGGGAGCTGGAGCTAGCACTGGACTGCTGCTGGAAGCCGGATCCCGGCGAGGAGTCCTCCTTGAGATGATCGTTCTCCTGGCACCACTCCACAAAGTCGTCTATTAGAACCGGCCAGGCGCCCTCCGAATCGTAGTTGCTCATTCGATCGTCGATGTTGGTGGCAAAGTCGAGTAGCAGGTTCCACGTATCTCGCGAGATGGCACGCTTGTGTTTCTCCTCGAGGAACTGGCACCAGATGTCCAAGAACTTAAAGCGCCCACTGAGAACGATGCACCAGTAGGCAATGGCCATTTCAAGGTCAATGCCCTTTTGCCCCGGATCCTTGGCGTAGTTGAAGGTAAAGTGGTAGAAGTCCTTGAACTTGCCGGCATCGTTCAGCTCCTGCTCAAGGATGGGCAGCTTGGCCTTCAGCTTGTCGATGCTATCGATGCCCAGGTCGCACATGCCATTGATAAACTCATCCCGCGAGAACTCGCACTGTACCTCGGCGTGGAACTTCCACGCTATGATGAGCACGAGTTTTGAGTCTGGCTTAAGGTCCAAATCCTCAAGAAAGTGGATGACGCCCTGGGATCCAATTTTCAGGGGATCACTGGGATCCCGATAGCGCATGAATAGTTGCTCGATGCGCTTGCGATCCAGCTCCCGGTAATAGTACTCCGGATTCTGGAAGTAATTGTCGCTGGCCAACTCGAATTTCCAGTCGTTTTGTTGCAAACAGAATATAGCCGTCTGTTCGCCCGTGTGTGTCAGCGATATGAACTTCTTCACCTTATCGCGGTGCGTGCTGGATTTCAGTTTGTTCTGCAAAATCATAGTGGAGCGTTATTGAAGATGGTTATGATGCGTGTCTATAGTTTAAAAAATCCCGAGATCTAGTTGATAAAAAGTGTGGGATTTGGGATGGAATACTAAGTGCGTTTATTTATAAGATTTGACTACTTCTCGTTTGAATATGATTACTCTTTTGCGGAACTATTTTGAATGGAAAATATCTACATATCTGCCTGCAAATTGGATATTCACATATCCTGCTGGCTCTCAGTTAAAGAACTGAATATGGGATTCTGTTGTGATGATGGGCATCACAATGGGTAATGGGTAACTTGTAGTCGGGCTTCTGCACTATACAATTCTAGCTTTCTTTATTGTTTACTAAGGATTTTGCTGCCCAAGCGAATTGCATAAATACAAGAGCAGCAGCAACAACAACAACTACAACTAGTGTGCCCAAGCTGGCGCTGCAAGAAGAAGCTACTGGGAATGAGAAAATTGATCGTTTTAGCCACGTTCTCCACGGTTCTCATTGTATGCTAACTGGGCCAGCACTCTTGTTGACAATTTGGAGTAGTACTCACCATTGCACTGCTACTAGTTCGATTTTCGCACTTGTCTGGAGCTGTGGTTTCCGACTATTAACAACAAGAAACTGCGGACTGCAGGTGTTGGTAAACGACTATTGTTTGCTGGAGAAACTAAAAACCAAACACGTATCGAGCTATTCCGATAGGTTTAATTTGCATAGCAATTCCAGCAGAGAAATGTTTGTAGTTTTGGTAAGCCTTGTGTTAATGGTTTATACTACTTAGCCATATTTTCCAAAGGGATATTTTTATTTAGTTTTGCTCACTGATGAGTGACCTTCACTTGACAGTTGAAATATACCATATGGTTCCGAAAACATACCGCAACAGTAGTAAAGAATACTAAAATTATTCTGTAAATTCTCGCACTAAATGGAAATATTTTAATTGAAATTTAAATTTAGTAAGGTATACAAATTTGATAACGCCTCATAATATAACAATTCAATAAATAGCTCATTTCATTAACTTGTATAGGAACATTTTAGAAACTCTTTATTAATTTGGTTGGTTATTTGATATAATGTATGACAAACAGTGATGCCAATATTTTTCTGATAAAAGAAAGGACAGATTGAGAAAAAAAACGGAAAAAATAGGCTAAAAATTTCAAAAAAGGATGAAAAAACAGGACAGATTTTTTTTATGATTATTATTTATTTAGTTAACTTTTAATTTAATATTTTAAATGTTTTTAGGCAATTTGACAAAGTGAGTTCGATATTCATACGATTACACACAATATGGATAACATTTTGCTAAAACGAGATGCCACATAGTTTGCAAACAAAAAAATATTTTAAAATAAATATTATAACATTTCAAACACTTGTAGGAATAACATTTTCCTGGTTCAAGAGGGATGCCATTGTGATCTTGCAAGTAATCACACTTAAGAACACATACACTACACTCACTGCTCGACCGGTAAGAGAGATTACTTGAAATATTTTTTGACTCTAAATTAGAAGACATGCCTTACAGTCTTCACTAGAACTAGTTGGGAATTATAGGGCTACAAGAAAATATGTTTCCTAAACAAACATTAAAAGCGGAAATAACTATGTGTTCCAACAGTAAGTTACATACCTACATATATACATACATATATACATACATAAATATATATACATACATACATACATACATACATACATACATACATGCATACATACATACATACATACATACATACATACATACATAAATACATACATACATACATACATACATACATACATACATACATACATACATACATACATACATACATACATACATACATACATCGGTAGATACACTACACATACACTACACTCACTGCTCGACCGGTAAGAGAGATTACTTGAACTATTTTGCGACTCTAAATTAGAAGACATGCCTTACAGTCCTCACTAGAACCAGTTGGGAATTATAGGGCTACAAGAAAATATTTTTCCTAAGCAAATATTTAAAGCGGCAATAACTATGTGTTCCGACAGTAAGTTAAACATTCTTCAGGCTTTAATTAAGACAATTTTTACTACTTTGTACAAGTAACACATACATACATACATACATACATACATACATACATACATACATACGGTAAGTTAAACATTCTTCAGGCTTTATTTAAGACAATTTTTACTACTCACTTTAAAGACCTCACTATTTCACTCACTAATATAATTATGACAAAATAATAGATTATTAATTACTTACAGCTCGAGATTAATTTAGTAGCACTTTGTATACTTTGTATGTAGGGTAATCAATTTCTTAACAAGAATGTAATGTATTTTAAAAATTTTGTATGAATAAATATTTTAAAATAAATATTAAAACATTTCAAACACTTGTATGAATAACATTTGCCTGGCTATTTGTTCAAGAGGGATGCCAATGTGATCTTGCAAGTAATCACACTTAAGAACATTTTTTCCGAATGAAGCAGTAAAAAACAGGACGGATCTGTACGGAAAAGGCTAAATTGGCATCACTGATGACAAAGAGTCTTCTTGTCAGTTTATTCTGTGTTCTCATATTTTTTAACATAAATCTTCTGAAACAAGCAGACCGTTTAAAACGCAGTGGAAACACATTTGAAACCTATCGATTACTGTGCGACGCGACAGTGGAAACGCGTAAACAAATATCGCTCAGCCCATCTGATTCACTATTGATTTTCTACAATAACAAAGCAGAGGAAAGTAGACAAAAATAACGCAATTTGGGAAATACAGAACTGGGAAATTCTGAAATTCGGAATGACGAGATGCACCCTGGTACTGGGTCTCCTGCTGGCCCTGGGCAACACAATTCACGCCAGTGATATCACGGATAAAGTGTTCGCAGACATTAAGGAGGGCATTGTGGCAGCTTTCGGGGATTTCGATTCCGACGAACTCACGGATGTCTTTGTAATTCGCGATGAGATGCGAACATTGCAGATACTCTTTGGTATGTAATCGGAGCCGGCAAGGTCCATTTCAAAATATAATTGTCTGTTTTACATAGGGCACTACACGGAGCCTCTGCTGAAACTGGGACCCTACTGCCAGTACGGAGATAAGACCATTGTGAGTGTTATACCCGGAGATTTCGATGGCGACGCCCTGATGGACGTTCTGGTTAACCTGAAGGGCATGGGCAATGAAACCTACGAGGTGCACATCAATTGGGGCAATACCACCGAACTGAAGTGCTCCAAGGAGTCACTCTTCACCAGCAAAGGGGAGGTAATGGCCCTGGACTTTAACCGCGACATGATTATCGATCTATACGGACTTGACGCAGCGGGAGTGCGCACATTCTGGATATTCAACAGCAGTAGACTTCCGCCGGAACCCGTACACCAGGCAGAACCCACGGAAATTAAGGGAAACTCGTTGAGCATCCCCAATGCAAATGCCTATCTGGATCTGAACGGGGACTTCTTGGCCGATCTTTTCTTGCAGACGGAAAGCTCCTACGAAATATGGTACGGCATCAACGAGCGAGACAAGCAGGAGGATTTCAGCTACCAATACCAAATTAAGTTCCAGCCGATCGGAGGCAATGACTACCACATCGGTCAGGCTGTGTTCATGGACTTCGAGCTGAAGGGCGTGCAAAACATTGTGGTTCCCTTTTGCATCCTTTCCAATTGCCGGAACTCCTCAATCATGGTGCATGATGGTACCGATTTTCGAAATCTCCTCGTAAACTTCCATGACCCACAGGGCATAACCTGGGCCTTTGTGCCGCCCGTGTTAGATGATGTTTACCTGCGAACCATTACGGCAAGGAGTGGTGACTTCAACCTTGATGGCTATCCTGATCTCCTGGTTACTTTGCAGCCACTGAACGTGGCTAAGCCAGTGATGCAAACGTTCCTGTTGGAGAACGTGCCTTGCACAACGTGTAATAAGCCGCTGAAGCGCACTTTCGAAGTGCGCTGGAACGCGCTTTCGCCAATGGGCAACAACACGGTGGCAGGTGCGTTCTACGACTTCTACCAGGACGGTGTGCTCGATGTGATTCTTATTCGAAAAGATGCAAAGGCCAAATACCAGCCACTCGCTTTCCGGAACACGCTTGACTATGACGCGAACTTTGTAAAGGTTATTGTGCTGACTGGCTTAGATAACAAGCAGAACCCAGAACGACGCACTCCTTTGGGCAGGAAAAAGCGCACCTATGGCACCAACTTACCAGGACCCCGCATTACCTATACTACAACTACTCAGGATGGGGATCAGCAGTGCGGCAGTAGCGTTCAACTTCCGCAGGCCTCGTACTTTGCTCTGCAACTGCCGTATACGTGCTTTGGTTTGGGCCGCACGCCAAATTTCGTGGATCAATTGACCGTAGGACTGGGCAGCAAGTTACGCAACTGGACGCAACTCATACCGAACTCTCAAATCATTGTGGTTCCGAAACCTCTAAACGAACCGTCACACTGGAAGGCTCAGCTTTTTGTCACGCCTAGCAAATTGATCCTGATGAGCGTCGTGGCGCTGGGCGGCACCTGCCTGGTTATCGTCTTCATCATCCTTGTGCTGTACATCAAGGAAAAGCGCGAGGATAAACAGGAGCGCTTGCAGGAGTCCCACAGATTCCATTTCGATGCAATGTAAGGTCGCCCATTAAATGTAAATTAACCAATTAACCCTTTTGATTCAACCAATTTAGTTGAGCTTTATATATTATTATTATTTAAAGTTGATTAATATGCCCACAAAGAGCGCCCCTGTTGACTCCATTATGAGCTTTCTTAACTTTTTAAGGTTCTAAAATGCCACAAACAAATTAATTCAAATTTAGGCGTCATTTTAAATGGAAGCTCATAATGCAATCGAAAGAGATCCTCCTTGACATAATTTATATTTGTATTATGGTTTAAGAAATGTGATAATATATAACTTGAAAAAAAAAGATGAAAATGCTCAGACAAAGTACATGGGGTTTGTCTTCATGAATTCGGGGACAATCGTGCGCTTTGCGTACTCCTTCTTCAAATCCAGGAACCTAGTGGAGCTGCGACATTAAAGAAAGGATTGAGCTCAAAGTACGGGTAACAGCAAACATAATTATCATACCCAGTGAGATAAACGCGGCCGCGTGCGGCCACCAAATGGGCTAAATAGGCTGGAGCCGGATATGAGACCGAGCGATTGCAACGTGGGAACATGTGGCACAGGTTGTAGGTCAACTGCTGCAACAGGTCAATGTCCAGATTGCCTGTGTTCTCAATCACATTGTAGCGTGTTGGCTTAGCCGTGCCCTGGATGGACTGGTGGCTGACCATGAAGAACTGCATCTCGTTGGGATGTACAATGGTGCGATCGACCACGGTTCCGGGGTCCACGTTGTTGAACTTGTTGTATTGTGATGGCTCACCGTTGGGAAAGAAGCGTGCGTGATGACGCTTCACCACAATCACGCAGCAAATCTTTGGATTAATGCCCACCTTTAATTTGACGAATATTATGATAATTAACATAATAATACAGTACCTTTTAATGTTAAATAGCGAGGAAAAAAAAAAAATTTACCTTCGAACAGGCCTGAATAATACCCCTCAGTTCCTCGTTTTTGATCTTCGGAAACTGGCCGTCGCTCACGCCATCTCGGTAATAGAGGATATGCTCTGGGTAGGTCTTACGGTACTGATGATATACGCGCAAGTGCTCCAACGTTATCGAGTACATGTCCTCTATCTCCTCCAGAGCCCCTCGCTGCAAACGATATTGCATGTTATAAGCGGCTCCGTAGGGATCGTGTGAGGCTGCTACGCCGACCACACTGGGAATCTCGCGCTGATCGGGCGATGGATGGGTCACATCGGCTCCCATGTACATGGTGTTCTTCAGCATCGGCAGACGAGGATCATCCTTGATCTTGTGGTTGATGCCATTCAGCTTGGAGTTGACCTTAAGTAGAATATTTCCAATCGTCTGGGGATTGAGCTTTCGCTCCACGGTAAACTGCTTAATGCACTGCGTCAAAATTCCATGCTGCAGTTCGGCCTTCTGCTTAATGATGTCGTAAGAAGTTCCAAACTGAGGAATAATTACAAATGCCAGATCATGCTGGCTGCGCTTCAGATCCGCGAACACATCGTCAAGGCCGCGTTCGTCCATGAACGTCCTAAATTCCGCCTTAGACTCCAAGCTTATGTTGACTGACTTGCTTTGAGCAAGCACTTGTCGCTCAAAATCAGCCACCTGGTTGAAATGCATTTTGCGACCATGCCTCGGATCATAATACACGATCGCCCACTTGTGCGCCTTGGGCTTGGGCTCCAGAAACTTCATGTTGTCCATGCGCCACGATCCGTTTCTCACCCCACACCACTTGTTACCTTGATATTCCACCTGCGGTGGGTTTAGGGTGCGCGTGCTAACCACAATAAAATCGTTGGCAATGCGGATTCCAAAGCGACTGATGGTCGGATCCAGGTTGTGCTGGAAGAATTTCAGCATGTTCATAATCTTGCCCTTTCGCACATTCGTCGATGTGGCTGCGAACTTTATCATATTGGCCACCTGAGTAGCCCCATCCTTGCGCTGTGAAGGGAATATTTTAATATTTATAATTAATTTAAAAGTTATCGGTTTGGATTTATATGCTATGATATGACCAAAGCTATAAATAAAAATGAATTTTGTGAACTCACATTTAGGGCTTGACCTTCCTCGATGGAGCATAGCTCGATGGGCAGCAGAATACGTTTTGCCGGAGGTCCGGCATCCAGGCAATGAAGTTGGGGAAACTTCAAGTTGTAGTTGCGACTCTGGAAGTAGGACGCAATGGTGACCTTCTTACCATCGTGTTCGAAGATCTCCTTGCTAGCCGGGCAACGCGAAAGTCCATTTACTTTGTATACCCTTGGAGCACTAGCAAAAGACTGAGGAGGTGTGTAAACCACATTAATGCCTTTGAGGAACGGCTCAAGGAAGCGTCGTGAAGAGTCCAAATCGGTTGTATTGCTGATTCTAGCCTTTAATCCATATCGCTCCAAATATTCGATCATCGACATGGCAATCGGAAAAGATTTGTGCGATATATCTACATTTAGAAATGGCTTATCGCCCAGCATAAAAGCCTGATAAAGACCGACCAAGGCCTCGTATCCATCATCCAGTTCGAAACGTTGACCAGGTTCCGACATCTTAAAGAAGGAACGACCGGCACGAATGGCTTTGTTGTGACAGGGTGAAGCCAACACAACCTCCATGCACTGCATGGCTCGCATGGGCTTGTCGAAAATTCGGTCTTTCATATAGCTGCAAAAAGGCGTGTTAAAAATGTTACTTAATGAAAAACATGACTTTTGTTTACGTAGTTAGCGATTTAAGATCAATATTCGAATCATTCGTCTCCTTGATTTCTATCGTGTAGTGCAAAGTACGACCGTTACGATCTGTTACCTAAATAATAAAGAGACGAGCAAATGTTTAAATTACAAATTACACTTAAATTAGCATTAGATAAATTGAACTGCGTTATACATTTAAAATGTTATTACTCTTAGTTGGACATAACTTAATATAAACATATTATTACTCTTAGTTTTACATAAATTCTTGCAACTTACAGTCACTTCCGAGTTTTGGGACTTCAATGGCAGCTTATCTACTGAGTAGCAAGAGGCTCTGCCATCATAGGCGGCTATTGCACCGCCCAATTGATTCATGCGAAATTGTTCGAATGCCTGCCTGTAAAACTTTTTGGGACGCTCAGGCATGATCTTCACATCATAGTGGTATGCCACAGGCGGCATTTTGGACATGTCAATGTCCAGGTAGTTGACGGCTACTTGGCCGGGTTTGCCGATTGTTCCGCGCTTTATGCTCCCGGCTGGCTGAGGCGGTAATGGAGCAGCCTGCTGTTGCTGAGGTGGTCCACGAGATTGGTATTGGCCCTGGCTCTTGGCACCTTGTTCCCCTTGACCTTGTCGTGGATGTTGCTGGTAGCCACCTTGTTGCCCATGTCCTTGTTGTGCAGGTGGACGCTGCTGGTAGCCACCTTGTTGTCCATGTCCTTGTTGTGCAGGTGGACGCTGCTGGTAGCCGCCACCTTGTCCTTGTCGCCCTTGTGGTATCTGCTGGGAACCACTTTGTTGCCCTTGGCCTTGTCGCCCTTGTGGTATCTGTTGGAAACCACCTTGTTGCCCTTGTCCTTGTTGCCCTTGTGGTCCCTGCTGGGAACCACTTTGTTGCCCTTGTCCTTGTCGCCCTTGTGGTCCCTGTTGGAAACCACCTTGTTGCCCTTGTCCTTGTCGCCCTTGTGGTCCCTGTTGGAAACCACCTTGTTGCCCTTGTCCTTGTCGCCCTTGTGGTCCCTGTTGGAAACCACCTTGTTGCCCTTGGCCTTGTCGCCCTTGTGGTCCCTGTTGGAAACCACCTTGTTGCCCTTGGTCTTGTCGCCCTTGTGGTCCCTGTTGGAAACCACCTTGTTGCCCTTGTCCTTGTTGCCCTTGTGGTCCCTGCTGGGAACCACTTTGTTGCCCTTGGCCTTGTCGCCCTTGTGGTCCCTGTTGGAAACCACCTTGTTGCCCTTGGTCTTGTCGCCCTTGTGGTCCCTGTTGGAAACCACCTTGTTGCCCTTGTCCTTGTCGCCCTTGTGGTCCCTGTTGGAAACCACCTTGTTGCCCTTGTCCTTGTCGCCCTTGTGGTCCCTGTTGGAAACCACCTTGTTGCCCTTGGCCTTGTTGCCCTTGTGGTCCCTGTTGGAAACCACCTTGTTGCCCTTGTCCTTGTCGCCCTTGTGGTCCCTGTTGGAAACCACCTTGTTGCCCTTGGCCTTGTCGCCCTTGTGGTCCCTGTTGGAAACCACCTTGTTGCCCTTGTCCTTGTTGCCCTTGTGGTCCCTGTCTTCCCGACTGTTGCCAACCTGAATTTAAAAATCGATTAAGAAAATGTATTACAATTGAGATTGATGTATTACAAAAGAGATCTAATTACAGACGACAAGCCCTGAATTTCGGTTGGTACTTATTCTTATGGTACTATTTCTTATTTAAATAAACGAAATGAAACACGTAATTTTAAGAATAAAAATATTTTATGGAAGAACAAGGGAGATAATCGCATACTTTGAAACGGCCATGTGTTCAGTTGGGACTTATTTTACACCACTCTGATTTGGAATAATTTTACTTTAATATGGAAGATATTTCTTGTCAATGATATAATGATATATATTCAGAATTTTGTATGTTGATCAGGGACTTCTAGCTCGACTTTGGCATTTCTATTGGTGGAGCATTTTACAACGTTATAAAAGACGCAATACGATAATACGATAAGCATAGATTCAATTTCTCAATTGTTTAAAAAATTATGGTTGAACCAACTGGTTTCGCTTAAGGCACAGCATATTGATATATTGATCCCTAGCTTGATAACTAGCCAACAAAAGGTCAAAATTTGAAATATTTTTTTTTTTTTTTCAATTTGCTATCGATTTTTCGTTTGCATTTCCACTAGCAGAGCTACGGGTATTACGGTAGTCGTGGAACTCGCCTATGTCATTCACTGTTTTACTATATCATCTATATTGATTGTTGGCCTCTTTTTGCTGGCTACTAACAAAGCTACATACATAAATATGTGCATACCATGAAAAAAGCCTGCACGTATGGTTTTTCTCAAATATTCTTTTCCTAATAATAATTTTTAATATTCCTAGCTAAAACACTTCGTTTTACGTTTCCTGTTATCTTCTCTAGTTACCGTTCAAGTCGGTTATTTTGCCAACTGCACGTGATAAGCTGCGAGCGTCTATATGCAGGTTCTATACAATACCGCCTGTTGAATTTCATCATGCATTGAACTTGGTGATTCCCAGCTAATTGGAAAATTTCTAGAGCATTCGATTGCCCGCTCTCGAAACATATAAATATTTACCTTGTTGTTGTTGCTGCTGTTGTTGTTTCTGCCGCGGTTGTTGCTGCTGTTGTTGTTGCTGTTGTTGTTGCTGCAGTTGTTGTTGCTGCTGTGGTTGTTGCTGCCGCGGTTGTTGCTGCTGTGGTTGTTGCTGCCGCGGTTGTTGCTGCTGTGGTTGTTGCTGTTGTTGCTGCTGTGGTGCTGCAGCTGCGTCACTCGCTGCGTTCCCTCCGGCCTTGTTTTCTGAGGTGGTAATAAGAAGTTTGCATATGTTCAATAGCTATTCCTGCATGTCGGTCAACTTACTTTTATTCTTTCCCATATTCAATTTTTGAGGTCTTTAAATAGACTTGAGAAAATGTACGAATCCAATTGCTTTGTTGCACTTTTAGTGATAGTAGGCCAAAAATATCAATGAATCGATAGTTTTTGAATAAAAATAAATATTCATAATGTGATTTTTTTCACATGAAATATCGAATATCGCTTATTTTATAAATATATTTTACATATTTATATATTATTCCTGCATGTCGGTCAACTTACTTTTATTCTTTCCCATATTCAATTTTTGAGGTCTTTAAATAGACTTGAGAAAATGTACGAATCCAATTGCTTTGTTGCACTTTTAGTGATAGTAGGCCAAAAATATCAATGCATCGATAGTTTTTGAATAAAAATAAATATTCATAATGTGATTTTTTTCACATGAAATATCGAATATCGCTTTTTTTATAAATATATTTTACATATTTATATATGTATATATTATTCCTGCATGTCGGTCAACTTACTTTTATTCTTTCCCATATTCAATTTTTGAGGTCTTTAAATAGACTTGAGAAAATGTACGAATCCAATTGCTTTGTTGCACTTTTAGTGATAGTAGCCCAAAAATATCAATGAATCGATAGTTTTTGAATAAAAATAAATATTCATAATGTGATTTTTTTCACATGAAATATCGAATATCGCTTTTTTTATAAATATATTTTACATATTTATCAATGTTTTACCTAATGTTTTTCCTTATTTATAGCAGCGCCGCCAGCTCAGGCTTTCCCCACGCCGGAGTTCCCCCGTGCCGGACAGCACGGAACATCGATAGCTATCGACGTCTCACAACACTAAACACCTACGATCTCTAGTAACCAAAAACCACAAAAAGGTAAACAAAAGGTGACTATGGCATCTTGGTAAGTTAGTTTCGTTTAATATGCATGAGTTTACATGTAATACATAATTCTAACATTTATTTATAGTTCTGCCAATTCCCTCATCAGCCTGCAAGATAACCCAAATAAGAAGGCGGATGTATGTACATTTCGCTATTTATTCATTATTTACATTTTCGCTTGCGACAGCTGCAGCGGCACGACGGCGACAATTCGCAGGAATTTTACTGGAGTCCGGGTTGCCCCGGAGAACTACTAACCCGACGGTACGGTAGACGTGGACCTCCCTGCGGTCAGCTGCTCGCACGTTTGGAACGGACCCGCCGGCGGTAATGGAAGATGGTGGATTAGGATCCTGACTCCGAAATGATTGATGGACGGGTAAGTTTTTCTACGATTGTCCAATTCCTATGCCCCGAGGTTAGGTTGTCTCAGTTGAAACTAGGAAGCTCGTCGGCATACTATCTACTTGACATTTTTCCATGAGAAATTTGTTTAAAATGTCAGATTTACCATTTTATTAGCAAAAAAAAAATGTAGGAAGTCAAACAAATGTTTTCACTACTTCTGAAATGCTTTGTATTTTATAATCCCACCTTTAGGTTAAAAATAATATTACATTCCTGAAAAAAAGATTTTTGTTCCTTAATCATAAATAAAAGTCCCGAATTCCTGCTGTTTGTATGGTTGTATGAATTTTATTTGGAATTGCACTTTTACTTTTGCCAAATTACAGCAACCAATCATAAAAGTTTTACAATTTTTTTGGATTTATTTTCTTGTTTTGTTTTTTTTGTCCATTTTCAACGTTAAACATACAATATATGCGTTTAAAATGCTATAGCCAAAAAATAGTAAATAGTCGAACATTATTCATTATACTTGTATATATAAATATATCATAATGCATTTTTCATGTTGTCTTCAATTTGTTTGTTTATCGCTTTTTTAATATAAATTGTTTGTCATTGCACGAGCGTTTCGTTTTTCAACTTCGATTTCTGATTTTCGTATTTTTACTAAATAGCTTTTTAAAAATGTTCTAACAATTGCACAACTTTGCCCGATTGATTTATACACACATGCACAGACATACATAAAAATAGCTAAATTATATGTTATAGATATTATCGATTTGATAGGAAATCAACGGGTTACGCCTAAAATTTCCGTTAAGTAATTTTGTGTATATAAATTCAACTAATAAAAACTAGAATGACTCATTCTGAACGCTGCAAAAAGAATACAAAAATATCTGTATAAATATGTATGCCAAAAAATTGCACTAAAACGTAAAACACAAATTGTAAACATAAAAAACAAAATAAGTGCTGCGAAATATGATTGAATTGGGTTATACTCTGTAAATATCCCTCGGTCAGTGCAGCGCCGCCTTATAATATAAAACTTAACAAACAATAATTCATTTTCATAATTGGCTCGGAAATTGTTTTAATTTGGCCAGGCAACGCGGCAGGTGGAGAACGGAACCGAATTGGGGATACGGATTTGGATACGGATACGGATACCCACTATAAATTCGTATGCTTTCCATCTATTGAAACTCCAACTTGACGGCCGCTGGCAAACAGATGATGAAGAGAAACTTAAATGCTGCATATAGGCATAGTTCGTTACATAATCCTCCTACATAGCTACATTATGGAATTGTTTAGGTATTTTATCTCGTCGTCAGCTTTCGTTATTCGTTTTGAGAAATATCGTTTAAAGGAACAAGAGTCATGCCAAAGACAGCACAGAGATTGAGCTCCGGGAGTCTTTCGTTAATTCATTCATTCAATCATTATTAAAACATAATGTACATGTCGCCTCCAACTGTCGGCTTAACTCCAATCTGGATTTCATATACAATCGGAGCCTATTTGCAATCGGCTTTCTTTCTATCTTTTTTGCATTTTTTTGTTGTCGTTAACTTTTTCATTACTTTGCTGTTTTTTTACGTTTTTGTTTTTGGTCTGTTGATTTCGCTTAATTACAATATTATTTTAGCTTCTCTTTAGACGCTTTCTGGATTGGCTTCTGCATTTGAGCTTCTCGTTATAATTGTAATTGTTGTTGTTGCTGCAGCTGGTCATTTGCCTAAGCTAGATCAAGTTTATATAACAGGAATGCATGACTAATATACATAGCTTTATAATATAGGTCCTACAAGTAGCTAGGATTACATACACATTAATTATACGGTATTAGTTAGGGGCATTCAGGCATCTGGGCCCTATGGAATATTTATTATGGGGGTGCGGTGGAGCAGGAGTGAGGGGAATGTTTTACCGCTTTGTGCTATCCAAAAGCCGAACAAAAAATTCATCAAAATTTCCTCGTCGCATAAATTCTTCAAAATCTCCCAGACCGATTAAATCGAAACAAAAAACTAATCTGAACTGAATCGAACTGAACTGAACTGAACTGACATACACATAATAGATCTACAATATAAAACTCGGGAAGGCGGGCAAACAAGAAACGATTCCGGCTACAGAAGCCCCTGGATATCGAGGGGTCCATGTGAATCCGGGTCTTTAGGACTTTTTCACATTGTGCTTGCTAACTAGGGCCTGCAGTTTGTGCAGCTGACTAAGTAGATTGGCATTGGTCTCCTCCAGCCCCTCAAGACGCTTCTTGTAGTCGTGGTTTTCGGTGACCAGGATCTCGACGCGCCTCTCCAGCTGGTCCATGTACTCCTTCTTTTTGCGGCGGCTTTCCTGAGCAGAGATCTGTAAGTTATGCAAAAAGAAAATGAAATACGACTTCTTTTCACCGGTTGTAAACGATGAAGCTGCCCGAAGAGGTACTGCCGCTGCATCGTTTTGTTTGCACCTACTTTATTCTTGATTTTGCGTCGAATCTTCTTTAGCGATTTCTCCTCGGCTTTGGTTAGGGGAAGCTTCTGCGGTATCGGATAGCCTTCGGCCAGCAAAGTACGTTTCTCCTCTTCCGTAAGCAACAGCGTCCCAGTGGAGCCCTTCTGCAAAATTCAAACAAGTCGCCAAAGAGTTAGTGAGTGACGAATGCATTGCTAAAACGCCGCGATGACGAGCTCAAATTTGTCATGCTTTCGAAAATATTTTTGGGTTTTTCTTACTTCCGATGAGTAATTTTTGCTATTTACTTGAAACTGATATTATTTATGCAAACAAATTAACTAAAAATTAAACTAACTACTTAACTAATTTTAAAGAAAAGTTGGAATTTCATTTTAGTTATGATTACGAACGTAGGTTCGTAATAGTTGTTCATATGGCCAAAGCTAAGCCTAAAATATTAAAAAAAAAGCTTACCGGCTGCGAGCTAATCAGGGGCGTGTGGATCGGCTGCCGTGTCGTGGTGGCCATTGAGCTGGAACTGGAGCCGGATACTGATGCGGATCCGGCGGACGAGCGCGTGATGCTGGCAGCGGTGCGGCTTACCCGTACGGATGACTCGCCGCCGGCTGGTTTGGCCACGGAGATGGAAACGGTAGCGTTGGGCGACAAGGGCGCAAACAGGTGTTCCGGACTCAAGTTACCTTCGGAATCGTCGCTGGGCAGGGAGGATGGTGGCGTCAGCGGGATTCCATAGCCGTGGGCATGCGATTTGCCCGAGCTATTGCTGGTGTTCTGTTTCTCGCTCTTGATCTCCATCTTGGCCATCAGCAGATTGTCCTGGCCAAGGATTTGCTGCTGGCGCTGCTGGGACTTTATGAGGCTGTTGTTGCTGTTGCTGCAAGCGGCTAGCAGGAGGCCACCGTGCTGCAAGAGAACCAGGAAAACAGGAAAATGTATAAATATTTCTAATCTATGAAATGAATAAGATTGAATTAATAAGATTGGCCACTATTGGCATATAATATTTTGCAGATAAACATTTTGCACTGGGTCCTAGTTGTGCTGTGTGCACTCACCTTTGGCTCGAATAGCATTTCCGACTGCAGGTGGGCCAGATTAAGGCTGAGCTGGTGCTGCGAGCTGCTCGCTTGAGAAGTGGGACTGGCGGGGCAGCTGGAGTCCGGCGACATGGGCTCATCCTTGATGGCCGACTCGTCGATCTCGATGTCGGAGCAAATGTCCGGCGACATGCTGCCATCCCGCAACGACGACACCGAGGAGCTGCAGTCGTTGTCGTACAGGTGCTGAGGTAGTTGAAAGTGCTCCAGATTGGCCACCACCACGTGGCTCGAGCCGGATCCGTGGTGTGGCTGGTGCGCCTGCAGATTGTGCAGGCCGGAGGATCGTGTCAGATCCGCGACGGAGGTGTTTAGGGCGGGATTGCTGCTCAGCCGGCTGATGGGCGTGGCGTGCGTGGGCGGGACGTGAAAGGTGAGGCACTTGGGATCGATAGTCACGCGCCCATTGGTCGCCGTCTTCGGTGAAATGGCGGGAAAGCACTCGTCCTCCATGTCTGGGGAAGCAAATAGATGGAAGCCATTAATACGATTAGGTTACCAAAACTGGTTTAAAACGATTTTAAACTATAAGCACTTAAGGGACACGTCATCCCAATCAATTGTACAATTCTTAATACGAGGTAAAATATCTTCAAGTAAACTGTTTGAATTTCATTTCATTATAGACAAGTTTTGCTTAAGACCTAAAACCTAGAAGTTCAAATGATTTAATCTCTTTTGCTATCATAAATTTAGTTGCTTTGGCTTGCGTCGGGTAAAATCGGTATCAGTTGGTCTCAGTTAATTGGTAATTTTCCCAAAAATAATTAGTTCACAGTCGTATTTGCTCCATCCCCTTTTGTCCATAAACAATGGGCAAAATCAAATAGAGCAATATGTGGGTAAATATTTTGCCAAAATATGATTGCTTCTAACCCACATCATTATGCAAGAATTGGAGCTCTTTAGACTGTAGTCTGTAACTAAGCAAACACCGGATCACTTTCCTTTGCCAGAGCACGCGTCAATTGGTCGAGTTGCACTTGTGTTTGCATTTCATATTCTGTTGTTTCAGTTTTTTATAAATATATATTTTTCTGGCAAAACTTTGGCCCCCCGCCTACGTTCGTAAAACCGCCCCAATACAACTACGAAAAATTTCGTGTTTTTTTATTTACACAGTTGTCGTACAGTTTCCATAAAATTACAAATAATAACAACTCGAAAAAAGAGAAGCCCAGAACTCAGGCAGGGTAATTATACACAGTTTGCCGTCATACATACGAACAACTGATATCGCGTCAAAGTACAAAACTTCATGCACGAGTACTGCGTTAAATTGCTAAATGCTACCGCGACACTAGAAACAGAACAGAGCGGATCTGAAACTGTTTTTCAACTGTTATTCTTGTCAGCGTTGTTTTCACTATGTACATGGCCTAAATTAACCAACTGCCAACTGTGTTGGGGCTTACAGACAGACCCCTTCCGAAAAACCAGAGTTGGTGGCTCTGCGTCTAGATGTAATGGGCCGAGTTATCGGTGATCGCTCTATTCAATCAGCAATCGTTCCAATTGCATAGGTGCACCTTGATGTGCATTCTAACATATGCATTCTGTAATATTTTCTACTACACATAACCCACATATTATATCCAATTAGCCGCATAACAAACGAAGACTGTAGAATTATTTAAATTATCCATACCATAGGCACCCTTTAAGGATCTTAATAGCTCTTTCTGAAGGGTTGTAATAGCAGTTATCGACAATCGATTTGTGTAACTACGACCCTGGGACTGGTTAATAGAGTGATCTACTCCTAACCTTGACTTCCGTTACTCTAAATGACTTTAACGATCTGTATGATTTTGTTGAATGCCACTTCACCCACTTTGCTAAATCAAGTTTATAAGACCACGTGATATTAACGTTATATAAACGAGACCTAGCCAGATAGAATCTACATATGTAGATCCTTGAGTTACTTACCCTCGATCTTGGCCTGGAGGCTTTTTGGTGAATCGGGCAGGGAGTCAACGTCGCTGCTGAGGCTGTAGGAGTGCTCCGTTTTGATCGGCTGTGTGCCATTGAGCAGGGCATCCGAGATGAGCTTGTCGTTGAGTATGACGGTGGGATCTTTGACGTCCCGATCGAAAAGCCAGTCGTGCATATCGTGATCGGGGCTGATTTTCAAGGATTCCTGCAACAGTGCAAAATGGGAACAAACAAATGGTTTGCAATTAGTTAATGTACAAAAGTCATTCATAGTCGTGCTGCACAGCGATAGCACGCTTATATAATTAAAACACAAAAACTGAATGCGAAAAACAAAGGTACATCTGCCGCTCTACCTACATATGTACATATATACGACCTATGGCAAAATCACACGAGAATCGCACACCCAAAACGCAACGCGGCCACTCGGGCCATGCAGATAGCTCAAAAAATGAAGTATATTGTATATAAATACTGATTTCATTTGATTTGATTTGAGAAGTACATACATATACTCGTGCATATGTATATATTGCGCAGATCCCGAACTGCCCCTGCATATGGTGGCTATGCAATATATTTTTGTTGTCAATCTTATCAGAAGACATTTTACCATCGACCACGCTCGCCGATTCGGACGTTTGTACCCTTGAAATAATTTTTGTTGGGCCTGACAATCAGTAGAGGGGAAACCATTTTGAAGTTATCAATCGTTAAGTCATTATTTTTGGGGACCCGCAAATCAGTGGTGGGAATTTTTCTAGGCTAGGTGGGGTACCAGGTGTTGGCTTCTGGGTTGGGTCGAACTTATTGGCGGTAAACGGAATGTTTGTAGTAATTCACCAGATACCTAATTTTTCTAAAGGTAACATGTAGTTTGGATTAAAGGAATGATCATCTGATAGAAGATCAAATAGATTTTTTAAAAGAACTGTGAATATTTTGCTCAAACTTTCATTAAAGATTCATTGCAGAAGTAGGATTAATCGTTATTTTCCTGAAGGACCCATCAAAAGTATTCAACGGTCATTGCCTCTAGTTCCATTAGAGTCGTCAATCGAGTTTTGGGGCAATTTGTTGGCAAATGGTTGGCAAATGGTTGGCACAAATTTAAATTAAAAGTCGCGTGGAGTGGAGTGTGCAAGAGAGTAATTAATTATAATGAAGAGGGCCGGTGCTAAGTGCTTTCGATGCTGAGATGAGCGCAAAGCCAACCTTGCAAATCAAAATCACTCACAATCACGATCAGAGTGCAGCTCAAATATATACATATGTACATATAAGTCAAACGAGCTAGCCGGTTGTTCTATTCTATTTGCCAAAAAACCGAAGATCCGAGTGGAATGGTAAAAACAAGCAGCTCCAGAACATATGTATGTTTGTATTTATTTTGAAGCTAAAGCCCGCCCGATGATGTAATCCCGAATGTGCCAGATTTTCGGACTGGATTCGCTTAATTGTCGCCCGCAATCTACGGCAATAAATTGCTGACCCATTTGGAGGTGGCATTTTGTGGCAAATATGCACATGGGTAGAACTACTTACATATGTACACATCTGAGTGAGTGACTGTCTGTCTTTCGGTCTGTCTGCGATAAAGAAGTGCATGTAATTACGCTTTAAAAACACATTTGTATGTAAAGTCCCAGCCGAGCCCCACCTCACCTAAGTTCACATTCTAAGCCAGCCAAGTGGAATCCAGTTTTGGCCATAAAAAAAGGGAACGTCGACGTCGTACATACATACGCAGATACGTAGATACGTAGATACGTAGGCATGTTGTATGTAGGCAGGTACGATTCTTCCCGGTTCTTTGTGGGTCTTTGGTTAATCGAATTCTACGGGTTCCTCCACGAAATCCACCGCACAAGGCACATACCGTGAGTCCAAACATTGATTACCGTTTGCACACATGCATTTGAAAGAATTTGGAATGATTCTGCGGCACTCGCAGTTTCGACCGAGGGTGGATAAATGAGTTTTATCAAGGAAAAAGTGGCATGATCGTCCTGTAACATACCGTCAAATGCCAGTATTATATTTGAAAGTATAATGATGATTCTGGTTCAAATTTCACCAATATGCACTTTCTTTTTTCTCAAGGTATGTTAAAATAAAGTCCCTTAAAATGCATAATGAATTTCATCGGTGAGCTATTTCTATTTCTTCTATTATTGCAGATTACCTAATATACAATAAAATGTATTTTTCATGTGGCTCACAAATCACGAAGAGACTCCAAAAATACAGCAGCCCGCCAATTTGTTAAGCTCGATTGGAAAAAAGGTAAATTGGAATTTTTTTTAGCAAATGCAAGACTTTATGTTTTTCTTAAAAACAGATAACAATTACACACGAATTTGAAGTTTATTATGGTAGCGCTGTAAATTCGAAGTAAAACAGATAATTGCCGAGTAACAGCAATATTAGCTGAAGTACATATTTCAAGTTAAATACCTTAAACCATAAATTAGCGCTGTCGTTTATGTATTTATACGTAATTACAAGTTTTAATACCCTATGAGGTTTTTTCGTCACATTGTAAGGAGTTTCTTTAGTATTTTATGGTGAAGTGTAAATAACGTCTTCAGTAATTACCCAAAAATGGCAAAGGGCCAAAGAAAGTGCTATAATAGTCGAAGTTTCTCTTGGCCAAAAACCACAGCCGACGCTTACTGTAATTCGTACATTCTGAAAGCCAACGAAAGTATGGAATAACCGAGAATTAATGATCCGCCCATTATGCTAATACTCGTGGGTCGTCCCTCGCATTTTTTTATATTTCATTGGGCAGTGCATTAAAACACAAATACACAAGTGCTTTCTCCGCATTTTAGCCCTCACCGCACATCGGGCCAAGAATCGGCAAGCAGTATGGTATATAGTATACAGTATACTACTTATAAGCACCGAGAAGCGTAAATAATGTGTGAGTGTGCGTGCCCAGCGTGAGGTGTGTGTGTGTGTGTGTGCGTGTGTGTTTATGATGAGTTCAACGAACCTTGGGAATTGTTGAGAATTAGCAATTCTTGAAAAATGCTACCAAAACGGGCAACACAGATACACACAAACACGTACTTCCAGTCGAACATACAGATACAGAATACAGATGCCCAGGCAGTCGTACAAATACCAATATATGTATGTAGTCTGTATACAAATAAGTATGTACAAGTGTATGTATGTTGTCGTTGATGAAAGAAAGAAGAAAGCCAGGAGAAAAATACAACGGAAAAAAGACGGCAAAAATGCTCGCAGGCATTTGCTACCTCTTTTGTTAGCTGCTGCGGATCAGGTGGGGGCATCGTGTTCCGGAGGTGGGGTGGTACACTGAGGGAAAACGCACACTGCGCTTTGCAATGGTCATCCTCATATCTTATCTTATAAGGACAAAGCAAGCCCCAATATCATAGTGCTACGATAACTTTTGTTTATTTTCAATTCTATTTATGTCAATTTGATCGCAAGTCTTATCAGTTTCAAACTTTAATCCAGAGCTCTATTCTATGGGCAGATCGTTTAAAATGCCACAACGACCTTGCCTGAGAAATTTGTTAATCGCAACGTAAATATTGGCGTTACTGTCCAAAAGTTCAATAACTTCGGGGAATTACATATGTATGTGGTGGGATTTTTCTTTATTGATTTCATTATTTATTTGAATTCTGGTGTTTCCACTTATGAACCATCTGCAATTTTATTTGATGCCTTGCCCATTATCATATAGTATGTGCTGTATGTAGCACATAAAAAGGTTGTAAAAGTTTAATATACAATTTAAACATAAAAAGAGTTTAACCATTTTATTACGTACGAGTATGTATAATGAGTACTCGGTAAAGATTTTATGTAAACGGTCTGTGATATGCAATCCTATAGCTGGTGCAGCTGTTACTGAAATATTTCTCATGGTGCACCTGTATCACCGTTTGCTGAACGTTCCAGGTGGGTTTCTGCCACTTCTCCGATTTGTGTGTTCCAATGAAAGCGCGGCACCGCCGGTGAAATGGCTAAGGGCGCCTTCTCAAGTGGAAAGCGGTGTGGTGTGGTGTGTGGTGCGATGCTCGACTCGGAGCTCGAGTTGGAGCTGAAGATGGAGCTGGAGTGGCTCTTGGGCCACAAAAACCGCTTGAATGCGGCTAAGCTCGACTTGACTTGGCTTGACTTGACTTGGCCGGGCAATCGATTCGATTGCCTAACCATCGCCGGAGGAGCCTGTGTGAAATGCAGTCATTTGACCCCATTTCATTGGCGATTCACAGAAGAAAACCTGTTGCTCCGCTCGAATGTCACGTGCAGGGAATTGTTCTGCCTCCGTTTTTCCCGGGTCTCTCGGACTCGGACTCGCACTCGTCACTCGGCAGCCCAATCAAGCAGGCACTTTGGAAACGATTAAGGTGGAATAAAATCGAAATAGCCGCCGGAGGGGTTTTCTTTATCTTACGGCATTAAATTAGCATACACACATGGGTGTTGGTGTTGCCGGGTCCCCCGGTTTTTGTTTTACCCATTATACAATCTTATTCAAATTTCCAGTCTTCGGCTCAGTCTTCCCGAAAACGCCAAAATGCCAAGAAAGGGTGAAAAATAGCCACAAACATACAATTTCATAAAAATAATTAAACTGGTTATAGTTTGGCTTGGTTTCTCCTCTTTCTTCTTTCTTTTTTACCACTGTATTTTCATTGGGCTTTACTTTTGCCTTTTCTGGCTCTTTTGTCTATACATTTTTTCGATTTTGCTTTTTTTTCGCTTGCTCCACAATTTGGATTGATTAAATAATGTTGCAGCAAGCGAAAACCTTTCACATTTATAAAACTGCAGCCGTGTGCGTGCGGATCATTATGTATGTATCGCTTTTTCTTTGTGTTGTGCACAGCATTTTTTAGCCGAGTCTTTATTTCTTTCCAATTTTTATGCCCAGGCTGCATCATTCGGCGTTGGAGTGTTGGTAAAGTGAAAGGTGCTCCCACAATTCAAAAAGAGCAGAAACCAAAAACCAAAAACAAAAAAGAAGCGAAAAAAATAAAACACAAAAACACGGATACTGAACTGCCTTTTAACTTGAAAAATTGCTACGGTTTCGTTTTTCGTGAGCGTGGTAAATGGTAATGGGGCTACGACGTAAATGGCCATCGTCAAATGCCGCCGCTTTTGCCTTGAAAAGAAAGTGCGAATTGGCCAGGAATTCCGCCCAAGAATGCGGCCCAAATCAGCCAAACGCGAAATCAGAACGCGAGATTGCAAAATTAACTCACACATTACGTATACGCCATGTTGCAGCCTCCAATGCAAAGCAACAGTGCCTCTCAGACTTCTATGACGTAGTGGTGGCTATAAATACAACCTAATATGTATAAAAATAGCTGGCGAAAGGGAGAATAGGGTGGTTTCATTGCGGGCCAGCTTATCACCACCATATGTTTGTGCGCTCTTTTTTGCGAGGAAAGTACGTAAGCAGCACGTCTGACGTACACACGAACAATTTGCCGAGCGGAAATCACTGTGAAAGTAGCCAAAAAATGAAGTATAAATGTATTGGAAAAAAGGCGCTGCCAAAGGAGGCTGAAACTCCCACAATCTTCGGTTATCCTGGTACCCCAGAGATCGTCTATCTTTGAGGAGGTGGGTGCTGAACAGAGATCCACCGAGTCTCAGCCTTCGAGACCGTCTAATGCCTTTCACAAAATCGCTGGCGAGCGTCGAACAGTTAAAACCTTACATCTGCATATATGCAAAGCAGACATAACCAATTTGGCAATGCGCGGATGAGTCAGAGAACTGGACGACCTTATTGGAGAGCCCATAATGAATTCACTTTCAAGGCTTCTCGGAAAGATAATGCTTGGAAAATGTGCCTGTCGCCGGGTAATTACTGAATTCTAGGCCCTAATTAGAGTGTCAATGGATTTTGGTGGAGTGAAGATTGGGGTTTCTGATGAATCCGATTAGTGCACTCTCTTTGGTGGCATGCTATAAATATCTTGTTGCGTCATTTGCCTTTTTATATTTATTTTATTGCATTTGAAACTGGCAAAGGGTCTTTAAAATGTTGTCAAAGCCTACTTTATGACAAGTATTTCTCGTTTGTGGTTTCTTCATCATAGGAATGCTCTTAATGTATTGCAGAGACCATCAGCTCTAAGTACTCTCCCGTTATTTTCCAAAGCTCCATATGGTTACTAGAAGTGCGGAATAGGTGGTAGAAGAAACTCGCCCCAACATCTTTAAAAGGTCTTAAGGGCAAAGGCCAATTTTTTGAATAAGCACTAGAGCTCAATTAACTTTCAGAGCCTGAAAGCAAATAAATAAAAAAACCAACGTGTCCTCCCTTTAATAGATAAAATATTTAAAAAATATAGCGAGTGATTATAAATATAAATATAAACCTAATAAATTCGGGAGCAGAAAAAGGTATTTATCTTTTTATGATAAAATCAAGCCCCACTGTAACAGACCTATCACATTCTCGGAATTTGACCGAATTTCTTGTGCCAATTAAACTATAATCTTCAGTCCTTCAAAACCACAGTGATTACCACTTACTCGCCTAGTGCCAGATAAAACGTCCCTTTAGAGGGTGGCCCTTGGAGCCCCGTTCCTTAACCACTTCTCAAATGCTGCTTCCAGTGCTTCTCCGCCCACAAGAAGCAGCTTACTGTTGCTTCCTTGTTGCCTGTTGCCTGCTGTTACACTTATCGTGTGGCACTCATTGGCACTGGCAATATGCTGCAGCGCCCACGCCCAGTTGGGGAACTGGACGCCCCCATCGAGGGGGACGCTGTAGCATATTGTAGCTTGCGAGCGGGTCCATGAATAATTCACGCTCCTCGGCGCTTTGGCCGCAAGTCAACTCCTTCGACATCCTGACATTGACGTCAACAAAACAAAGCGCAAACAGCTGGCCAAATGGCCCAAAGGCCGCCCACTCCTGTGGCCAAAAGAGAGCGGCTACCACAACTAGAAAACCCGGTCGAAAAGAGAGCTAAGTCAGCTAAGAGAGGTTTTCCGCGTGGACACTATGGCCGCGCATCCTGCAACGCGCAGCGCGTGTAAGTCCGCATGAATGGCCGACATGAATGGGACACTATATATATATATATATATCTATATCTGCAGAGAGAGACAGAGCAAGAGAGAGTGGAGCCATTGAGACTGGCGCACATGTAAGCCAATACTATGTGTGGGGGCACAAATTTAATTATGCGCGCTTTTTTTCTGCTTCGGTTTTTTGCTCTTTCGCTGGCTCGCCATATGTTTGGACTTTTGGCATAGAAATTGTGTCGCTGGAGCGAGCTAAATTTGCAATAGTCGTCGCTGGGTTTCTTTGCATTCGCTTTGTGCTTTAACCTGTTTTGCAGATTGCAACGCTCCGGCTCATTGGAAATGTCAAAGTTAAGCAATACACCATACGTACAGCGTACAGCCAGACAACGCAGCGTATACGCGATACGCGATATGCGAGATACACAGACGAATGATAGACCATATTGAAAGTATCGTGCTTAGCTCGAACTAGTTATTCAAATGTGCTCCCGAGAGTCAAGCCTTTAGCTCTCCAACTTAACAAAATGCCGACACAGCCTGTTGCCAAGCACGTTTTTCTGATTTCCGTCTCTGGACGGTGGAGTTGGTAGTATTCTCGTGTGCATTTCAAGTAGCGGGCCTTGCATTAGGCCGTTAGAAAATCGCGGTCTAACCTCAACGAAATGCACATTTGCATTCGACGGCCAGGCAACAGGCCATATACGCGTATAGACCATAAAGGGTATCGAATTGGGCGAAAAGAAATTGCTAATACCATTATGCATGCACCTCGCCCCCAACACCTTTTTTATATTTTGCTTATATAAGCGAAAGTTGGCCCACAAAAAAGAATAGCTCTAGAAATGTCAGAAATATATACTTGTTTCGTTGGCTGTATCTCAATGGAAGTGGCAAAAAGTTGCTGACTTCTGGGCTTCTTGTTAATGCTGCAGTTTTTGCCTGCTTCGGTCTTTAACTCTTAACCTCTCTCTTTCCGTTTTGACCAACAAAATAATCTAGGAAAGTCGCTGGTTTTCGACTACGGTCAGCATTCTTCTCTGAAGGCGAATGCAATTTATTTTGCTCAAGGCAATCTTTTCCGGCAGTCTACTGTTTCGACTGCTGAGCTTCTGTTTCGAGGCTAGCTTGGAGACGAACTTGAAGTCTTTTAGTTCAGAACCCAGCTTTGTTTTCGCTTTCTTTCGATACACAACCCGTTCATATACTGCCCTATATATAGGCGCGAATTCTACTTAGCTATTGAGAAGATAAGCTCATTTCTAAATCCGCATTAATTAGGCATTCTGTTTCCATGTGCTGCTCTTATCAACAAAATGTGAAAATTTCAGCAGTAATTTTAGCGTTCAACAGAAATAATTTTATTTTGTATTTTCTTATCACGACTGGACCAGAATCGAAAGTCGTTAAGCTGAAGCGTTGATATATATTTGCACTGGAAATTGTTTGTTTGCCCCGTAAACTGTATTCATCGTAAATTGAATAACCAGTTGTTCAGAGATCATCGTATTGTTGGATTTTCCAACGCCAATCGATTTTCACAGAATTCCCCCGATCGCGAATGTATACTTACACTTATATGCGTGTGTTTTTCTAGAGCTTACAGATTCTGCTGTGTCAACTCTTCATTACTCCGAACTGATACTGATGGGCAGGGGAAGCACTCGAAGATCTCTGAATGAAAAGGTAGGGGATTTCTTGATAACACCGATCGGAATCTCGGCAATGCGGGGCACGTGACATTATCGCAGGGCTGCCTCAAGACCAGCTAACCCCAACTGGGACTTTCCCATATGTGGCCTCTTTGAAGCACGTTGCCAATTTAATAAAATTGATTATCGACCCGTCAAGTCATTATTTTTGGCTTATTGTTTTGGTTTACGAAAGAACAAAAAATCCCATGGCATCAAATTTATTTTTTATTTTTGTCAACAGCTTAAGTGGAAAATGGTGCGCTAAGGCTAATCAAAATTGGGCATTTCAGGCCTTATCTCGGCGCAAGTTTACTTTTATTTTTTTGCTTTATTTTTTGGTTACAAAATACTGCGAGATAAGATTGTTGATATGCTTGAAGAGGCTTCAGAATGATAGTTTATATTATTAAAATAATGCCAAAATAGAATTCTGATAGGCTTGGGCTAACAAAACAAAGGGTTTGGACGGGTTCTTTCAAGGAATTTCAACTATCTAGCCACGGATGATATCTTACCTCGATCTTGATCTCACTTCCCAGGCGTTTGGAGGGTATTAGGGCGGCGACTTCCCACAGAAACCGATAATTTCTTGTTATGGGCACACACAGGCATTTGAGATACTTATGAGGTAATTGAGCGCACGCCCCGGGTACGGGTACATTGTACCGCTTACGGCGGGAAAAAACGCAATGCAACAAAACCAATAAAAACTGCACGCGCATTTTCCCGGGCATTGGGCCTATTTCTGTCCCTCCGGCTACATTGTCTACAAGTCGAGTAGTCGCCGGCGCGCATTTATTATCTCCCAATAGTAATGACACTGACGAGCCATACTCTATTTGACTAGCTGCAAAGTGCAGCCGCAGCAGCAGCAGCAGCAGGCGAAAAAAAAGTCATTACTTTGCATTTAGACCAGCTGATAGCAGCCTCTTATCAACTCCACATGTGTCCTCCTCCCAAGCCGTAATAGATTCTTTTCTTTTGTGCTCGCCCAGCAGTGCTTCCTCTACACAGAAAGCAAAAGCTGGTAGCTGAAATCTACGGAAAAATAATTCATAGGCTAGCGGTGGGAGTCGAACTCGGACTCTGGTTACCAGCAATAACCAAATGGTTAACCATATCGATTGTTCATCATACAATAAGCAGAAAATATAGATTAGAACTTGGAAAATGAATATTAATTTAACAAAATTAAGAGGAACAAATTTTTTATAAAATTTTATTGTGAACGATACTTTTTGAATCCGGGCCTTTTCAAAGAAGAGGTACTACGATAAAAACTCTACGTTATTAAATCAAACTGATACAATAATTGAAAGTATCTGGCTAATTTGATTTTGATCTGTTTTTTAACGTGTACAACAGCAAGAACAAGTGAAACGGACGGACTTGGGCGGACGACATGTATTCATTACTGTTTCCGCAGCGATAAGCAATAGACGACGGCATCTCCATCTAGGAGTACTCCGCAAATGAAGCTCAACCCGGCACTTACTCATTTCATTATTTTGAAACAATTCCCGATTGCCGTACGAGCAATGGAACTATGAGCACAAAACAACCGAAACAGCAATCGTTCGCTAATGATAAATTTCTTTTAATTTCTTGGAAAACTTCAATTATCATTATCGCCCGACACAAAACAACTTTGTAGGACAGCGAAACTTCTAAGTTATGAACAGAAATGTTTCCTGAATGCCAGATATAGTCGCTGTTTCTTATCAAAAACCATGTAAAATGATATATTCGAACACAAAAAGTCACTAAAATTGACTTTTCTCCCAAAGCGAGCACGTAACTGCCAAGATACAAAGCCTTGAAAGCTGCCTTTTCCTTTCGGCACTAGACGGTATGTTTGATTCAGGCGTATCGTATCTATTTGGCAAAGTTTTTTTCTGTTGAGTAATGCTATTGGGTTCGGCAGTCCAAGAACGTCCTCCACGAAAATGAAACCAAAACTGTGATTCTGGGTGTGTTGTATATTAGAGTGTGTGATGTCTGGAAGCCGGGCAGTTCGATTAGATTTTGGTTTCTTTTTTCAACGTACGGTTCTTTTTTACATTCCGATTTTGGTGGTGCGGTGAGCGGACATTTTTATGAGGTAGCTTGGGACAGGTTTGATCGTAGGCCAGTTTGTCGGCGATCGGTATTCTCTCAGGTGATCGCATATACATATACTTGTATGAATGCAAACCACTTAATATGCAGAGAAGGAAAAGAAAACTGGCTGAATTCCGTGGGACCCTGAGATCGAAATTCGTTTCTTCATTTTCATTTTCCTTTTCCGAAATCGATCATCATACTTAGAATTCAGCTCATGAATAAGTTCACGTTTTTCTCCCCAACTGATAAGCTTAATGTGGGCCATTAAAGTGTTTTAGATTTTAAAATGCAATTTCGTTTCGTGGAAGCACGACTCTTACATGACTTAATAATCGTATTGAAGATGTCTCTGTAGTCAAAGATCGAAGTTCAAGAAGTTCACCAAGTTTAGTTGGGGCATTGCCACATAAAATTCAGTGAGCTATAATATATAAGAGCTACCTATGTACATACATAGTGCATGTATATCTCGGACAGTTTCTTATCGTTTCGTTCGATTTGTCGGCTTTAACTTTCATATATAGCCCATATCAAGCATACCTGCTGTAATAAAAGCTCTCAAGTATCAATGGTTCTGTTCTGACTGATATAATAAGGGGGTACAAGTTGCTTTTCGCGTTTCTGTTTGTGCTCTGCAGTGGTAACTTGAACACTTACCGGATCTAAGTCGGAGTCCCATATATCTTTGAGGTCGCCATCGTAGAATTCCATGGTTCTTTGGGGTTGGCGCTATTCAGATGCGCTCTAAGAACTCTTTTAGTTGGTTTTGCGGTTCGGGGATGGTATGGTATGGTATGGGGTTTGGTTTAATTCGGTTCCACTCGGTTGCAGTCACACAAATTTTTCTACTTTAACCCACTTAAGAACTGTCTTCTTATAATTTTTTAGTTTATGGTATTATACTATTATTTTCATATGATTTTGCTGAGCTCTTTCTCCGCTCTTTCTCTTTCTTTATACTTTATCTCTACCTCTCTTTCTCTTTCTATTTCTCTTTTATTTTTTACTTTACTTTTTTCCGAACGAACAGTTCTGGGTGATGACTGTTGGTTGCTTCTTTATAACACTTATTAAGGGGAAACCTGTTGCTTCCAGAGAATGTTTTCACTTGACATTGTTATAGTCTGCGTGTGTGTGTGTGTGTGACTTTTGCGTTTGTGTGTGTATACCGGGCATTCATTCGTATGGGTTGTGGTATTTGGGGTGTATCTGTGTACGGATCTAACTTGGTTTACAACTGTCGGCTGGATTTAACTTGTTGCATGCGCTTTTCTCGTCGGATTATATTTGGCGTTAACATTAATTGAATTATTAACTTTTTTCCCGATTCGGAAACGAAACACTTGATTTTCATAGAAAATAGTTATTATATGTATGTTTAGATTCAACGTTGATAACCATATAATTTTAGTTTATTTGACTTTTCTTTCGCTGTACTGTGTTTTGGACTCGATTACGATTTCAATTGATTTAATTGAATTTTTTTTGTGTTTTGTGTGTGGATGGGGCAGTAAACCGCTTTTGAAATGGCTTTGCTCGGCCCGTGTATAATAGCATTTAATATGTGTAGTTAATATCGTTAACTTTAGCAATAATATTTGTATGTTTGGATGTATGGGATGGTAGCACACAATTAGAATAAACTGTCCGTAGTGCGACTGCAGCCAAAAACGGTACTAAACTAAATGTCGGTGAAATTCTTGTGAATGCGAACGAACGAATGGAAACGTTCAGCCCTCTGCTGGCGTCGCTGTCGCTGCTCTGCTCCTCTCTTTCCTCTGCAACGCTCTGTCTCTCTCTTCCACACGTATAGCGCCATCTCTGTTTCTCTCTTTCTGCGTTTGCAATACCGGCAATTTCAGAATTTCAGATAGTCAAGCTCGAACAAGTGATACTTTATGTAATTTTATATTTATAAAAAAATTAAAAAAATTTTTTACTTGGATATGTTGTGTTGATGTTTTGTCATTTAAAATAGAAGTAAACAGTTTTCAACAAATACTGTTTTACATAGTAATTGTAAATCGAAACCAGAACTGTAAAAGTTTTTCTTGTATGCCAATCGAGACCAAGATTATTGCCTAAATATACCATTTCCATGTGAAAAAACCCCTCAAATATAACACCGTATCTATAATATCCTGCGTTAATAGTGTTATTGATTCGTTCATCTATGAGAAACGTTTGGGGTTGTTGCATTTCGTTCCCAAAGGTCAACTAACCACATACCTTATGCCACATTAGCTATAGTTTAATTGAATTTATTGACTCCTTAACATGTTTCGGGGTAGTTGTAACTAAAGCCTTGTAGACATATACCCACGGTTCTGGGCCACCAATCTACCCTTGATACTGTGTAACATGCGGGCTAGCCGGCTTCCAGTCCGAGTCCGAATGCGATTGTATCTGTATGCGACTCTCTCCCGAAAACTCTCAGTGCTCTTAGTGAAACTTTCACGCTCTTCGGGTCTCCGAGAAGTGAATGTAAGTTGATTGTCGTAAGCCGGCTTTGACGTCGGTTTGAGACCGGAGACCGGAGACCAGAGGCCCGAGATTTGAGATTTGAGACCCGGAGCCGCATAGGAAAGGAAAACAAGTTTCTTCCGACGCCATGGGCTGCGTCGACTTCAGCGTTGCGGCAACATTTGTTAACCTGTTTTTTATTATAGATTTTGTGTTGTTGCTGCGAGTATTTGATTTGGCCCGAATGCATGAAGGAGTAGGGGGGTGTTCCCCGCTCTGCAACCAGACCTGACTTTGGCTGCTGCCGCTTGGTAACACTCGCTCCGTTGATCTTGTCAACTTGACCAAGTTATTTGAACTATGCACATGTGCAGACCATAGAGAGTCGGGCCATTCCAACCCAGGCCAAGCCGCCGAGTCATTTGAAGGCTGTTTGCCGCAGTTGGGAGCCAAGAGTTTTGCTCGGAGATCTCTGAGCGCCTATGGACATGGATGTGGGGATCTTTGGGGCCTGGCCTGGACTTATGTTGCTGCTGCAATGCTGCTGCTGCTGCTGCTGCAATGCTGCGTCGACGGCGACGACGCAAAGTGAATGTACTTTCAAACCAAAGATCCGGTTTAAAGCTGCCCGGGCAACAGATACAGCGCAGACAAACGACGATGACAACGGCGATGTTTTCACAAAAACGCTTGTGTAATACATATGGAGAGGCATAGCTATATGGCTATAGCTCCGTGCATGTCATGTATACCCCCGCAGAAAATATACACACAGCTCTCGGCCACTAATTTCTTGTTTGTTGACGTGATTTTATTGTATTCATTTAAAAATTTCAAATTTGAAAATCCCCAATATGGCTTACACACATAGTAAATCGAAACGGGTTGCCCCGGGTTCGCTTGATTATCGCATTGAAAATCCCCCAATGGACAATATAGACAACAAGCTCCCAAGACTCCCAGATCAATGAGCCCTGATAGCTGGCTGGGCCAACAAGACGCCTCTGAGAGGGATCAGATCATTCTGCGCCCTTCTGCTTCGGCGCTGAGTACATCGATTTCTCCACTCGTTTGGTCATGGAGGATTTCCCTGAATTATGACACAGATATTTGTGCGTTTTATGCGATAGAGAGAAGAGCGTTTTGTTCGCACTCCCAAAATATTTCGTTACACTTTCTAATTGGGAAAAAGGTTAAGATGATCTTGTCAGACTTGATCGATTCCATGGCTTCACATCAATTGACTCTCGGTGTCAACTTAAGCGGTTTATGGTAAATTTGCAAGGGTAGCCTTTCCCTTCTTGTTTCAATATTTTGTGTATATACGCGCACATACTTGAATCACAATCCCATCAACAACATCATCAATGTGCATTGTGAGTGTATAAACAGCCACATGAGTCGACTAAGTGTGCGAGGCTTTTGTATTGTACACGGAAAGAAACATTATGGATTTGGGGATTTTACTTATCGGAACTTTTACCAATATCTAAGATCTCAAAACATTACTTTTAGTTTGAAGTTTAATTAACAAATTTGTGTGTATTAATAAAAAAGATTGTGAGCAGGCTGGGACTTGAACTCGGACCACTTGCCTACCTTGATCATGAAAACTTTACCATTGCTAGTCATTGGGTGAATAATCATACTTTTGCTAATGGTGTACAAATATCAAAATTCAAATTAGTGAGATTTAAAATCAATCCTAAAAAGTAAGGTTCCATCTATTTGACGCGTCATGTCAAAATAATATTGCCTGTAGATCCATGATATCATTTCAATTTGTATTCTTAAAGGTTACTTGAATGTTTATTTGTTTCTATGATGCTTTGTAGTATGACTTTTGTACAATGTAAGACTTTTTTCCAAGTGTACATTAAATTTCATTTGCCAGTCGCGAGACTGTGTGTAATAATTCGTCATGCTGGCCGCATTTGAACCCGCATAGCGCGCTGCCGCAGTCTGCGTCGCTGGTCTCTGGGTTTTGGTGTTCGGTGCTCGGGGTTTGGGGTTTGGGGTTCGGGGTTCGGGGTTCGGGTTTTCTTCTCGGGCCGATCCGAGCCGGGCCATTCCCAATGTTTTTCGTACCCCCAGCCCAGCCCCAACGCCGCCCCTAATTGGGGCCGGCTTCTCTTAGCTGCGCTCTTAGTTTTCTTGCCGGATTCGATCGCTTCGCCTCCGAGTGGATTTTACTGTTATATAGTATGTATAGAAAGAGATATATTGTATCTTATGGATATGGCTGGCACAAATACTTTTCGCCACTGACGACGCCGCTTTTTCGTACATTTTTCTTTTTCTCTTTCAATATTATATACATTTTATTTGATTTGTGAATCACGGCAAACAGGCAGTTGAGTTGTGGTTAAATGGGCGTCAGTTGCGGGAAAATTAGAGATACAGCTCACTTGGTGATGGAAGTTGTAGGTGTGTCTGCTCGTCCGCTTTTCCCCTTCCTGTTTATCTGCAGTAATATTTTAATCTGCACTTGAGATTTCTTTTAGAATATAATTTAGCGTTATGCCAGAAAGTAGCGATTAGATTCCTTCGCTGTCATGCCGCTGTGGTTGATAGTTTAATAACTTCCCCCTATGAATGAATTTTGTTATTGCGGGTTCCTGTTATCATTCTAGATTTGCTGCCATGTATTAGAGCCCTACAATATTTTCATTTCGAGCGGTGGAACGCCTCTGCTTGAGCATTGAATGCTATGTTTAAGGGGCAGGCTAGTTCCTCACTAAACATATGTGTTTGCTGATAAGTATTTCCATGGCAGGACACAAAGGACCGCTTATCGCGGTGGTAAAATGAGTCACTCCATATCGAGTCTTATGTTACGCCTTCTTTGCCAGCGGGTCAGAACATTTTCTTATCGCTAATTATTTTTAGCATAAATTTCATTTGTAGGGAACACGATGCATAAGAGACCGATATTGGGAAAGATATTGGGTGACCATAAAGAAATCCATGCGACAAGAAACTTTTACCTCGTAGTGTATTTCGCTTTCAAGTTGATAAGTTTTAATTTATTCTTCGCATTGAACGAAATTCTCTTGTTTAATGATATGCTATTATTAGCGGCACGTATGAAAAAGCAGCTGTGCCTGTGGCTTTTGTGTGTTCCTCGGAAAAATACTAGGAAAATGCATAAAAACATATGCCATGGCATCTAAAAATATGTGCTCGTGTTTAGCTATTTCGATAAATGATGGCCACAAAGGCAAGTATGCAGCAGGACATTGATCTCTTTGAGGAGAGTTGCTAATTGCCTTGGACATTCCGCACTTAGTCAGCTTCCAGTCCTCTATGGAGTTATTAATTCGTCTCAGAGCGACAGCAAAATAAGCCGCACTGCGTTCTGACCCAGTTTCATCATTATCATCACTTTGTCAAAAGCAGACTTCCAGATCACACGCAGTAGTAATTTGTATGGTAGTATCGTATAGTACCTGCCTCTTCGAGATACGATACGCACTTACCTTTGTCTAAAAATGATAAATGATCTCATTGTTGACTGTTTGCTCTCCCTCAGGACTTTTTGGTGACGATCGTGTTGTCATCGTCATATTTTGGGCCACTTGTTCTGGCCGCATGAAAAAGTATCTTTAGGCGCTGGCGAATGATATTAACACACGGGATTGTCAATAAATGTACATGTGGATTGTACATTAAATACACCTATATTGGGTTGTATCTATATATCGAGCCGTGTAAACATACGCAACGCAGCAGACATTTTGCCGTCGTTGTCTTTACAACTGAATCCACATACTGAATCCACGAGTATATGTATCGTCAGCGCATTGAGCACTCTTTTGTTCCAGCTCGATCGATGTTTCCCGTCATCCGTTCTGCCCATCAGTCCATCTGTCAATTGCATTTAAAGCAAATATCGCCCATAAGAAATGGGCTATAATAAAGTACATTCGTACGTACAACAACACAAGAAGATTGGTTACGTCTGCACTTGTTTAAACAGTTCCTATAAAGAACTTCAGCCACTACCTGCGCTTGTTGATTTTATTTATATTTTTAATTTTTTCGATTTCTTTCCTCTTACAGGTGCACGATAAAGTTAACCAGCATAGACCACCGCCGCTTTTTTCGGCCTTATCGTCCCTAGAAATGCTTGACAATAAATTAGATTTTGTGCAAATTCTCCCGTCCGATCGATCCACTCGATGGTGTCCGTTCGCCATGATGGTGCAAAAAGTGGAAAAGAATCCGAGTACCGGACGAGAAATATACTATACCTCAGGCAAATCGCAGGTTCGTGTGATTTATATCATAACAAAAGGTGGAGGGCGCGAGAGAAATGGCAGATCGAATATTGGCTACCCTTCTGCAACTAAACACTGTACATGTATTATTAAAACACGATAAAGCAAATGACATCAACAAGAACCTCTGTAAAAATAATATATTACCACCTCTTAACTTTCAGTATTATTATTCAATAGATTAATTAGCTATTTACAAGATGAATTTTTAATAAAATTTAGGAAAACAGTTGATTTTTAGAGAAAGAAAAGCACTTACAATCCATCCATCATAACTTTCTTCTTAATCGAAGATCATAAATATATCTCAAGTATATTGCATACAAAATCCATTAATATTGGCTGTGCGCTAAGAGGCATGACCGATCATAATTTTAAAATGCAAAATAAAAGCATAAAATATATTCCTCTGAACGTTAGAGCTAAAAAATATTATAGGTATGAGATAAGATATTGTTCTAGACACCCTGTTCTGTTGAAACTTGAAGTACTTGATGCGAGTTGGAACGTGCATACAGATAATTTCCTATCTACATTTCGCTAAATATTAAATGACTACTAAATAGGTTTTCACCGCCAGGGTAACCTTAAGTCTGATCATAACCAAAGTACTCTTCAGCTTGAAGTCTTGGAGTTTGGCTAGCCATAAACAAAATACGGCCAATGCGGCGTTTGTTGAGGTCAATGATTTCTGTTGCGTTGTCTTTTTCACGCTTTTTGACGCTTTTTGTCCATATGTTTGTATGTACATATGTAGGTGTGTGCGAGCATTTTGAATATTAATTTTAAAAGTTTTTCGGCTTGTGTAAACATATTCAGCAAAATACATAAGTGGAACCATCGACCGCTGTAATGTCGATTTTGCAAGCAAATGATGACATAATGGAAGATAGTTGAGACTCCAAGAACAGGAATGCTGTGATTCACATGGACCAGACTATTTTGTAATACAATGAACCGCCTCTAGAGTTATCTGGAAGGTCTTTTCGATAAAATGATATTCAATTATACTAAAAAGAAATGCATGTCGTTTTCTTCTTGGGGCAAAATTCATTGCAGTGGGTCCATAAATATAATGGGGAAACAGTCCGCTTGATTCAGTAGAAGATTCCATACGGAGCCAATAAAATGTCCAAATATTTGATACACCTCTGCCTGGTGCTGCTCTGGAGTTCCCGGACAAATGGGGAAACCTTTGACGAATGTGATGGGGTAGAGGATGGGGCGTTTGTACAAAGTTGGGAGAGCTGCCAGTCCTACCTCTACTGCGATGGTGAGGAATCCATGAAGGGCGATTGCGACGATGGCGAATACTTTGATGCCGAGTCGGGAACCTGTGATCTTGCGGCCAATGTGCAGTGCTTTCTGGACGAAGTCGATGAACCTTCGGAACCGGAACCCGAACCGGAACCGGAAACAGATGAAGAAGAGGAGGAAACGCCCGCCATACCACAACCAAGCGAACCACCGATTATAGAGACCCCAGCCGAAGTGGATATCGTGAATATTGCCCCCGTGGTAAGGCCAAACTGTCCGATCAGCGATGATCCCGGCCAGGTTATATTCATGGCCAGCAATAACTCGTGTGCCAACTACTATCTTTGCTATCACGGCCATGCCATGGAAATGCACTGTGATAATGAGCTCTACTTTAATACCCTCACCGGACAGTGCGATTACCCAGAGAAAGTTCAGTGCGCGGTGAGTACCTTGTGCAGATCCCTCTACCGATCTGTTTATAATGTAAAGTTCACTTGCAGTTTGAAGATCCGCGGTCCCACAAGTGCCTGCCCCACATGACAGAGTTCTTTCCACATCCGGACAACTGCAACTACTTCTACTACTGCATCAAGGGTTTCCTGACCCTGCAGCAGTGCCCCTTCTACTACGGCTGGGATATAGAGCGCCGGAGTTGCGTGCAGCTAGGTGTGGCGAAGTGCTACGGAAACTCCGGCAGAGCAGTTCGGAAATCCCCACTGCCACCCAAGAAACAACTCATCAAAACTTAGTGGAGTTGTCTACCAGATAAGAGCCCTATTTATTGACTAGTTACAAGATTGTGGCGACATGAGACCGTTAATTAAATATAACTTATTAGAAGAGACCTTGATTTTGATTGCCTTGCCACCGGGCTGAGCTATAAAAAGCTTAGCCCACCACCACAAGTATCCACAAACCCCACAAAGATCGAGAATGCAGCAATCTTTGCGCTTGGAACTGCCACTGATCGTTTACGGGCTGATTCTCGTTGTGTGGGGAGTCAATGGACTAAACATACCCGAGTGCAGTGGTCAGAATGGACTTATCAACAATACGCGATCCAACTGCAGTTACTCCTTCATCAATTGCAATGGCCAGAACTCGATGTTTTGCACGGACAACACGACCTGCAATGCCAACTTCACCTGTGGCGACATAGTTCCGGTGGATACTTCAACAGTGCCACCCATCATCACAACTCCAGTTGTGGTCACCACCGCCTCCACAACTGTTTCACCAGCCGATATCCGGCGAGCGTGTCGTCAGGGTGTTACCAAGAGATTCAGCTATCCGCAGAATTGTAACTACTTCTACTACTGCGTCGATGGCTTTCTACTGGTGGAGCAATGTCCAATTGGCTATGCATTCGATCCCGAGACTGGAGCTTGTGGTGGTCGCAAACGCAGCTCCAGAGATTGTGTCTTAAGGTGAAAATAGTCGCACAGCACTTTTAATCAAGCCTCTTGTCGTGTCAAATTAAACCATTATAGCTAGAAAATAAAATGAATTTAGAGTCTTATCAGAAAACAACGAAGCAGCCGCACCGCATTTCCACCTATAAAGGAGGCGCTGATCTCAGCGATGAGGCAGTTGAAAGCCTATTGAATGTGGCAATTGTCGTTAGTCTTGGCCTGCCTGCTACCTGGTTACCCCTGGTTGCAGGTGCAGGCGGTTTTCCTCGAGGAGTGCAAGGGTGTGATCATCAATAAGGTGGCCAATGAGAACCAGGAGTGCAGTGAGTTCGTTCACTGCGATGGAGATGATTCCTACTACTGCAATGGGGATTGTCGGGAGGCGGTCGAGTGTTATGCCACTGTAGCTATCACGCCAGTTACCACCTCAAGGCCTGCAGAAACCACCACGGAAAGAGCGCCATCCCAAGAACCTGTCAACACCACCTCTACTTTAGCTTCCGCCACGCCCTCAACGACTACTGTAGCTCCAACTAGCACCCCGTTTCCGAGTGCCGATGTCTATGTCATCTGCAAGACGAGTAGAAGGAATGGGGTCTATCCCTATCCGGCAAACAGCCACTACTATTATCAGTGTATTTCCGGTTTCCTACTGCTCCAGCAGTGCCCACAGAATTTCCACTTCGATGGCACCCAGGGCCAGTGCGTTGCCACAAAACCCAATCGTTCCTGGGGCTTACGTTTGTAAGATTCATATCGGAGCGGAGTCTGTAATAAAGCAATTATCAAAAGCGTGTTCGGGGGCAAATTATTTTCTGATAAGGCGCGGTAATAAGAACACCCCAAAGGTTTGCATACGAAATCGATCAGTTTACCATTTCAGATTGAGCAGAGAACATGCTTCGAGTGTTTGGAGCCATCTGGGTGTCCCTACTTTTCCTGGGCCCCAGCCGAGCGGATATTTTCGATGAGTGCACCGATGGTAACAACCTGTCCTTTGTTACTTCGCCCAAGAGTTGCGCACACTACATCTTCTGCAACGGCGATGAGTCATACGATGGCGAGTGCGAGGATGGCGAATACTTCAGTCAAGATATGGAAATGTGCGAGCCCATGGGCGATTTTGATTGTCGCACGGGAGCGGAGGTGCAAAGGGAAAATACAACCGACAGCGCAACGGAGATTACCTCGGAGTCCAGTACGATGTCCACAGTTGTAATCAGCACATTGAGTCCGTCAGCAGTGGTCACATTACGCCCATCAGTCAATCAAAGTGGAGCCACCAATACGACATCCGTATCGGCTGGCATAGAGATTGTTGTGACCAATGTGTGCCCGCAACTGGATAATCGGAATCGTATCGCATTGCTGCCAAATCAGAACTCCTGTTCAGATTATTACATTTGCTATCGCGGTGAGGCACTCCCCATGAGTTGCGCCACCAGTTTGCACTTTAATTGGCGCACTGGAAAATGCGATCATCCCGAAAACGTCAGGTGTTTGGTGGGCTAACTACAATATGTGGTATCTTATCATTTGTCTAATAAATCACTTACAGGCCACGGCTTATAATCCCAGGGAGCAGTGTAAGCGACATGTCATCGATGTTTATCCGCATTCCGACAACTGCAATTACTTTTACCAGTGTCGTTCCGGATATCTGATGGTCCAGCAGTGTCCTTTCTTCTACGGATGGGACTACGAGAAGCGATCCTGTGTAGCACTAGGCCAAGCCAAGTGCTACAACAAACTGCAGATGCAAATGAAAATTTATTAAATACATACTCGTACCATATTTATACAAAAAACGAAAATTTATTTATTTAATTGCCTTGTAGAAAGCTATAAGCCATTGGGGATTTTAAAAGCTAGGTTTTCATCGTATCGTATATTTTGTATGATCGTATATCGTATATTTTAATGCTGAGAGCGGAAATTAAAATAGCACACAAAATTTAAGTCTAACCTTCTACAACTGGGTAGTCAGTTAAACTTATTTGTCAAAGTATCAAGAAAAACAGCCGACCTTGACTCATTCCTAAATTTATCAGGTGATATCAAGCAACTCTTTCGTATCTCTGCAAAATAGGAACCTTGAATCGGAACATTTGCTAAAATGGCTGAAAAAATAGAGCAACCTTCGATCTAAAACATAACAATTTGACCGATACGATAATATTTTCCTTACAAGGACAACAAATGTCGTGATATCAACTAATCAACTTCCAAGCCAAACACGGCTTCCCATTCACCTTTTTCACCAGGTTTAAAAATTAAAAATCCAGTATTAAAGATGTATCTCTGTGCCAATTCGAGATATGGTATCGGTTGACTGTGAGGAAAGGGAACCATATTTCCTTTTGACACAACCAAATACAGAAGCCTTATCAACTTCTTCTACAAGCAGTGGAAAATGTTAATTTTCTGATATTGAGCCTCATTTTCGGCTGTATCTTGGCGCCGAATGTATCACATATATGCCAAGTTCTCCGGCCATTACGAAATTAGACTATGACTGCGCTCTACTGGAGTCTGACGAAAGAACACAAGATGATGCTTAATACGGGTTAGTAAAATGCATTTTCAAAATAATCTTATGATGAGAAACTATTGTTTTCCAGCTTTCTATTTGATGGTGAGCTGTTTGCTGGCCACAGCGCAAAAAGCTTGGAGTCCATCCAAGCCCACAAACTCGGTGACCATCAGGCAAAGTGGGAGTATATTTTGTGCCAATCATTTGGTTGGTGAGTTTGTGGAGCATGCGGAGGATTGCCATATGTTTTACCTGTGCGTTGAGAATGGGGATGCTATCCTGGCTTCCTGTCCACCAACGATGCTCTTCAATACGGAGAGCAGGCTCTGCGATTCGGCGGCAAATGTAAAGTGCAGAAATGGCACGGATGGCATGGAGAATCCTCCACTCGAAGCTGGAAATGGTGATGGAGATCCTAATGACATGGTCACGGATGCCGCCACCTATTGCTCCACGTTAATGAACCAACAACAATCCAGCGACAGAATTGTCTATGTCGGCAGTTCTAGTAGTTGCAGAAAGTACTATATCTGCTACTATGGACAGGCGATTTTGCAGGAGTGCAGCTCGCAATTGCACTGGAATGCATTGACGGGGAAATGCGACATTCCGGAGAAAGCCCAATGCACCGTTGGTGGTCAGGGGGATATACCATCGAACGGGAGCCCCAGTTTCCCATCGGCTGGCTCCTCCATATCGAGTGATCTCATCCACTGCCCCGCCTACGGCCAGCATTTGTATCCCCATATGCAGCGATGCGAGTTCTTCATCTATTGCGTTAAAGGACACGCCAGCCTGCAGCAATGTCCCTTCTATTATTTCTTCGATATTGCCACAAAAAGTTGTCAATGGTCGCGTACAGCTCAGTGCGTGCTAGATTTAAATTTGGTGCCACTAATAAAATAGACGTCTTAATTTATTTTGTGCACACATTTTCAACTTTGCGGAATATTAACTCTATTTAAGGGGTTTGTTTAACAATTACGAATATAAGAACATGTTAGGTAGAACTAAAAATAAATAAAACGAGTTTTTCATTGGCTTTAACTTTATAACCATTATTAGATTTAAAAACTCGCGCCGATTACAAGTAAAACCCCAACTAATGTGTACACACTATTTTTCGACATCGATATCCGACGCATCGATTTCGATACCGCTTATTATTTTGCCACTGTTATTTTTCTGGTATTCAATCGCGGTCATACAAATCCCACAATATAATGTTAAATTAATCATATTTATACTTATCTATATATAAGCAAAGCGAAATATTCGATTGTCCCTCGAAGTAAACAGCCCGGGTGCTCCACAATGAAGCAAGCGCAAGTAACTTAAGCTGTGTCTACGAACTATCTCGAAACACACTATTTTCCCGTCATCGCACTCAAACTGCCCAGCTCGAAAAATCAACAATAAATTTGTATCGGGCTAAAGGCGCATTACGGTGGTGCACCTTCGAGTTCCGGGCGGCAGGTAATGTATGCAAATCCGAAACAGCCACCCGGGATTCTTCTAGACAGCGGTTGCCACAAGAAAGCCTGAGAATTGGGCGGAATCTTCTAGAGAGTTGGTGGTTTCAGCCGGGATGTTGGAGAATTTGCGAGGTATTTTTCGGAAACGGCGTCGCTGCGAGACGGACACGCCCCCGCCGCCGCCCACCAAGGAGTCGGAGATAATACCCCGATATCCGGCAGATATAGACGCCGAGACACCCGAGTCCAATGATGGCTTTGAGGCCTCCTGGATGGAAGCAGGCTCTGTTCACAGCCCACACTCAGATAGGTAATTGAATTCTGGGCATTCACGCTTCCTCTTTCTCTCTTATTGCAGCTTCAGAAACAGATAAAATTAAGCTAACTAAGCAACAGCATCAAACACTTCGACACCCACTCGAAAAAAGCTAAAGACATTCCAAACAAGTAGCAAGCAAAGCGGCTAAAAATTAAAAACCAAAAACCAAAACGAAACAGTAGGCAGCTAAGCAACCATCTTGGGTGACATACACTTGTCCGGCTTTTTGGAGGGCGGCAGGTTTGAATCAAATCTGGATCAGCCGCAGGATATGGAAGTTGATGCGCCAACAGCGCAGGAAACCAGTGACACTCATCTCCAGACCCGGAATCACCACCACCACGATAGTGCTCAACGCCAGCAGTTGCAGCAGATCTCGCCCAGCGATTACCACTCGGAGGCATCCATGAATTTTGATTATTTGCAAGACCTGAGGGCCGGTGCCATGGCCTCCACATCCACGGCCGGATCCGGAGGAGGTGGCAATGGCGGGAACAGCTCCTACGGACTCGTCGACGACAGTAGAGCGCTGGACAGGTTGTTATTTCATCATAACTAAAACCAAATCAGACACGAAACCAAAACTATACCGTTTACATTCACACAACCTCGTAGCGAAACAAAAGTTATATTTTCTTATCTATTACTTCTTCACACTACCAGCTACCAGCTTCATTCGATTCTTTTGTTCCATAGTAGTAATAGCCTAAAGGTGATAGCTTAAAGTATCTGCCGCGAACGCCCACACAACTCCAAAAAGAGCTTTGTGTGCGAGCGCCTTTTCTTGTAGACCTATTCTGGTTATAATTTCGTAGCTCTATAAGTGGTCAGTCGATCTGTAGCAGAGCGATCTAACACTCTAACGTTGCTTGTCTCGTTTCATGACTTAACCACTGAACCGCAATCACACTTAACCGACATGTGACAGACCATTTAACGCCAGCGAGAGGTAAATCTTGAATTTATAATAACCATTAGGGTAATGACTAACCTTTGAGTGACTCGCAGATTCGTCACCATACTGGATAATTTGGATGCACGTGTGGAGAAGCTGCGCAAGGATGCACTCAACCTGCAGGAGAAGAAAGACTACCTTTTGATGTCCATGGATCTGATCAAGAGCAACGAAATGATGCAGAACATGAGCGAGGGTGAGTAATTGGCGGTAATTCCTTAAACTTAATTGCACCATCATAATTCATGAGATTCACGTGAAATGAGCTTATAGATTTCTATTTAAAAGTACCACGAGTGTCTAGTGCAGCTTTATTTGAAAACCAGACAGGCATAAAAACACAAAAATGTGTTTGCCACTTCTGCATGCAATTTGCATTGCATCAATGGTTACCATTAACCAATGAAGTTTATCTCCCAATCATAGTTGGCTGCGAACTAATTGATCTTCTTTTCCAGCTGAACGAGAGGAGATCATTTTGTACATACAGCGGGTTAGCTCCCGTTTGGGCACCGTCGAGCTAAATGTGCGCACTGTGCGGGACAACTCTCAGGAGGATTCCCTCAGCCAGATAAATGCATTGATCGACAACATGATCAAAATGGGTGATCCCGTGATCGGACGCCAACGATGCCAGTTGTACTTAAACGCCTGCTGCAGCAGCTCAATGGATCCATCCGGGCACATGGACACTGTGCCCGAGGCCGATGCCGGGCCCATCGATAAGAAATTCGAGAGCGTTCTGCTCGGCTGCACTCTGGACGATCAGAAGAACATCAAGAAGCGGCTCCAAGCCTTAATGGGTTATCTGAATAAGCAAACTGTTAGCCATTAATTTAATTGTTTTTGGGCCATTAACTATTCATAGCATTATTATCAAACCAAACGAAATACATCACCAAGCCGGATGAAACGAATAATAAACAAAGCATATACACTAGGCCAGCAGTGTTTGAATTAAGCGTAATATAATTTAAATATTTAGATTACAACTAAATGTTATAAGCTGGCAAAGCACATGTCCTTCGCATTCAAGACCCGATCACTTAGGACCCATAACGCATCATTGGAGGTGAAGAAAATCTGCTGGATGTTCTTCGACGTGAGATATATGATTTCGTTGCCCTCGGCTGTGATGTTGGCTAGTTTGGCACATCGTACAACAGCTCCGAATTTGGGGATTACATAGTACAAGGTTCCGAAATTGTCCACGATCATGCTGCGACTGCTGCCCAGAAGACTGCCCAAATGTGTGAGTTTAATGCTACTGTGTATCGAGTTGCTTGCCAATTCGCTTTTTAATTCGCCTTCAACTTGCAGCCTGTCCACTGTGCTGTATAGGTCGCCATCCTGGTCGGACAGGATGAGTTCCCCTTGAATACCGAAGGTGAAATCCACCGGCTTGATGGGAAACGATTGGTTCATATTCTCGTACTTATTGCTCTCTAAGGAAAAGCGGTGCCACGTCTGCTCAAGGATGTCGTAGGCGAGAATTTCTGGTGCCTTTCCTAGGATGAAGTAAATGTGGCGCTCGTGCTCACATCCCGGACCCTTGGGCCCCATTTGGACAGTCAGAAATTGGGTGTCATTAGCTCCGATATGATGCCCACAGTCGATTCTCAATAGCTCCGCGTTGTTGCGCATCAGATCGAAGACAAACAAACGGGGCGAGCACGTGCTGCCGGGAAATCCGATGTCCATGACCCACAGCCGACTCAGTGCATCCACCTGGGACCAGTGGGCCTGCTGCACCAGGGAGCAATCCTCATGATCGCCCATGGAATGAACTTCGCTGTGCGGAAAGACGACGGTGGGCATGGGAAAATAGGAAACCGGCCATTGCGCCTCGATCAAAGTGGGAGCATCGTTTCCTTCTACATTTACGCTGAGGAACACTCGCGGAAAGTGCATTGACAGGTGACGGACTTTGTAACTGGACTCGTTCAACCCGGATTCGGATAACAGCCAGGCGTCAGTGGCCAAAACTAGACCAGCAATGAGAAAGCCCAAGCCGAGGACCACTTGTGTGACCATCTTTAAACGCGAATTCAGACTGAGCTTAGGGCTAGAGAACTCTGCTTACGTTGTAAGTGCCGGCAAAGAAGTCCACCAAAGTGTCTACATCAGCAGTTGGGATCGGGTGTCGCCGAGTATCGGCGACCTGCATTAATGGGAACCAGCATTGGAGTGCTTCTCTTATTCCTATTTACTTGCAAGCGAAACAAGCTTGCCATTGAAGCCAAATTTTCAAATCATGGCACAGTTCCCCTAAAGTGAGTCGAAATATATGGCATATCTTTCAAAATATATCGCAGTTGACCACAGGAAAATGATTGGATTTTTAAAGCACCAGATAACCTGTAGTTATTTAAAATAAACGCTGTGCATTTTAGGCTGCCTTAATAATATTGATAAGGTTCTTAAGCATTGAACCTACCTTAAGTGCTTGGTTTTAACATTACCTCCATGTTAGCTAGTGTTTCTTCACCTGAACAGTAATAAAACCCTGTCAGATTTTTCAAGCCATTATAAAGATTGCCTATAGATTACACATTCTCCTTTTGTAAACCCCCGACGGATCAATCATTGCTTTCTGTTGTAGGTACATTTATATTTTTTGAAGCTATTGTTTCTCAATCATTATAAATTAGTAAGTTAACAATGTTATAAAGCATTTACCATGGCTGATAAGGAATTGTGTTTGCTTATAAGTACTAATTTATTTAGAATTGTTGCCTATGTGTTTCGAGTTTTTCGAATTGAAATATCTTGCATATTTTGTTGCAAAAACGATCCATAACAAATCCTCCCACTTCGAAAAAAGGTAAGCTTTTCACCTCTCTTCAGATTTTATTGATTATAGCCGAATCTTTATTGGGTTCTCTCTTTTTCCATCAGTAGGTTGAGAGCTTTTCATTATTTTCACGCTGAAATGGGAAAAATGGCACCACTCGTAGAGTCAGTTATCCATTTGGGTTGGTCAAGATCAGATCGAAATACGGAACAGCTTGGCTAAAAGTCAATTTCTGGAACTACCACACGTTAATCAAGGATTATCATCATGTGCAACGCTATTTGTGAATGCCTTAAATGTCCTGGAAAAGTACTTTGCTGGTAAGTTTCCGTCGGTTATTGACTTTGTCGAATATTAGCGTTTCACCATATATAAGGTTCGAGTACCATTCCTGGTATTTGCAGCTTAATTGACAACATGCCACTATCAGCTAAAAGGTTTTTGGTAGAGATTGCTAAATCCTCGAAGCATTACTGTACTCTTCAAGTTGGGCAGCAATTCTAGAAAGCTTTTACCAGGGTTTATCAATGCTAACAGGTATATTGTTTCCTGCTCAGTAATGCTTTAAAAATAGAAAGCTTGAGGTTGGAAAAAACCCCTTCCTTTGCCACACAGTAGATGGTTGTCTTTAATCAATCTAGAACGGATGAGACATATCTTACCCCGCACAAAACCATTTGTCTTTGTCACGAATACACTGCGCTCTACTCTAGTTAAACATTCATCTACCTTTGCGACCCTAATCAAATTCCTTGTTTTTTGTAACTAAATAAATAAGTTAATAAAATCTAATGTAGGCAGTTATGTGCTGGAATCGACGCCTAATCGTAGTCATTGTGGTTCTCGTCGCGCTTACACTAATTGTCTTTGTAATATTTCACTTATATGATAGGTATTACGATCAGTCCCCCTTCACTCGAGATGTGTAAAAGAATTTGCTTTACCTGTATTTTAATCTGGTGCAGTTAACAGTTCCCAGTGATGGATAATGTGATACCGATACCTCGTTCGAATGGAAAGATTGTAAGCTCTCTTTTTCCAAAACCTATCACCCACTTTTGTCACTCGCGTCGTGATAATTGTAGCGGACTCGTTATCAGTTTGTTATTTGGCCCGATATGATTAGAGGTTTCCATACCTGTAGACCCCAAATGCGGTCGATGACTGTTACCCCTTCAGTTAATACTTTGTGTTGGTCAACAACGCATCGAGGGTCGGAAACATATTGTATATCTACAAATATTAACCCAAAACCGTCATCACCATGTGCAACGCTCTCTGTGAATGCCTCAAATGTCCCGGCAAAGTGGTTTGCTGGTAAGTTTCCATTGCCTTCTGACTCACCGATCGAATGCAAATATATAAGGCTATATGTGGAAGGTGCTGACCGGAGGTTAAAGCCCATTTAGGCGCTAATATCGTTCACAAGACTTGGTCAGCAATGTGTGTCCATCCTATGTATTTAGTCTGATCTGATTCGACAACTTGATCAGTTATTAGGTTTCCATGTAAACTTTCCTAATCAGATTTTCCCATATCTTTGCAGCTGCTGTTCCTGCGCCTGCAAGATGCTGCTGAGCATCGTGTTTTCCGCGCTTCTGATGGTCGTGGTTATCGGCCTGATTGTCTACTTCACGGTCTTCTATCACAAGGATAAGAACACGGACGAAGTGCAGAAGCAGGTCGCCCAACTGGCGCCCATTGTGAAGCGCAGCATTCGCGACTACTTCAGCAAGGAATACTGATCTGCGGACTTGAATTTATACTATAGGCCATGTTAATAATAGCACCGTCGAAATCAAAATCGAAATCGGAACGAACCAATAACCAAAGCCGTTCAGTACATGTCTTAATCTAATCGCGTCGGATGCTCCTTATGGGATTTTTTCCTATCTATAGATAGTTTGGGTCTCAATTAAATGGGCAATTTTTGCGTTCTTTAAAAATATAGATAACGTTGTCGCCCCGAAAATGTGACTCACTGTAAGCTCGAAACTTATTAAGGCATTCACAATATAAGGCAGAAATAAAATTTGATTGAAAAGGATGGCACTCACTTCATAAACAAGACTACGAAAATTAAATGTTTGTAGAAAAGTAAAGCGGGATTTAAGATATCAAGTGCTGTATAAAGAATCTAAAGCATCTTCACATACTGCCTTAAGAAATATTTATATTTGAAGGCAGCCTCAGTAATTATTTGCAAGTTCACAGGGAAATGGGGAAAATGTCGCCATGGATGTAAGAAATTCGCTAATAAACAGTCGAGCTAGGGAAGTTTGAATGTGTTTAAGATGAGGGTTTGCCAGCAGGGAACCCCTCCCATCCTCAGTCCTCCGCTCCAGCTGTTTTCCTAGTTTTATGTACACCATTACTTACGATCAGGTAGCCCAAAACAACGACGAGGGTTGAAAAGTGTCCAGGGTCTGGTGGTCCGTTCAAATGCATTTCAAACTCGTTCCCTGACTCCCTGACTGGCTTCAATCAATTTCAGTCTCAGTTGCTCGGCAGCATCAGGTTCACAATGACCTCCGATTCCACGCTGTACTTCAGTGCCGTCGAGGAAATGTTCAAGGAAGTGTTAGCAATGGGGGACGACGACGGGCATCCTGGGAACGAGGAGTTCTCCGAAACCCCTAAGCGTTGTGTGCAATTGCGCAAGCAGAAGTTGTTCGCGAGCGACTCCGCGAGTTTTGTGCTATGTCGTCGGTCGCCGAGGCTTGATTCTAAGATCGATCTGAAAGGAGATATGTCTCCTGGCAGGCGAAAGGAGCTGCGCGGCGAGGATGTCCTGCGGATGCGCAAGGATCGGGCGGAGCAGGAGCGACTGAGGCCCCAAAGACGACTTACCTTGCGGATTTAATACCATCTATCCACCGAGTTCGTTGAGCTACCCAATCGAAGTGCTTCCCTATGATCTATTTTTAAGCTCACCTAAGTATGCTATGTTGTGTGTGCCAATAACGTTATTAAAAAATGCAAATTCTTGCTTTAGCACATAGCTGTTAATTGTTGCTGTGCATTTTCACTATTTATTTATCACGAAACATGCTCTTTTTCTCAGACATTTGGGTCTGCCCCATATGCAATACCCCTTTTCAAATTTAATGAAAGCTGCAAAAAACATAATTTAATTAAAATATTAAAAAGTTTAATATAAATAATATTATATTCGTATATTGATAGGAAAAAAGTATAGGTGACCACGGAATTCCGGTTAATCCAAAATGCATTGAAAATCACAGATGCTTTTAAGATATTTTAGTTTTAGTCTATTAAACAACAAATATTTTACAAATCTTTTTGTAATTAAAGTGTATTGCAACTAATCAATTCAGTTAAAATTATTTAAGACTTTTACGGATAACTGGCTAATCTAACATAGCAGGCAACATTTTAAATAAAATACTTTTGTAAAATTAAGATGTAGCTCAGGCTTAGCTAGTACGCGAACCTTCATACATTCGACGCAGACATTGTGTAGAAAGATCATAAAATAATAGACATTTTTTCGACATTTTTCAATGTTAAGCGTATACACTTGAAATAAATATTTGACTAACAGCTCTAGTAGGAGATTTGCTTTAATTAGTTTTTGTGTGTTTTGCTGTTAATATACACCCATAGTCAAAAATTGTTCTAACCTTTGAAAAACGCACTTTTTTACCGAACAGGTTTATGTTTATATACACCATAGCAAAACGCACTTTTTTACCGAACAGGTTTATGTTTATATACACCCATAGTCAAAAATTGTTCTAACCTTTGAAAAACGCACTTTTTTACCGAACAGGTTTATGATCTGTGACAATGTTTGGGCCTTCTTTGCCAGTTAAGTGCTAATCGACTTCTTCAACTCTAAGATTGAGGCAATTTGGGCTGGAAGTCCTATCTTTATAGTCTTACACTCGCCAGGTTTAAACCAGCTTAGCAACGATTAAAACTAATTATGAAGCGCAGGCCACTTGAAATCGGCGTATAATCCTAAAATGGATTAGGAGTAATCGCTTTTCTCCGAGGCAAAACTATGTGGAGTGTACCTATATAGTTACAGGTATTTTAAAGTTCACTGGGGTCCAGATACTTAAATAATAATAAATAATGATCACTCCTTTATTAATTTGCTTTAATTGTACAAAGTACTAAGAATAATCAAGAGCAGAACCTTATCTAGTGCCATGACTTGAAGTTCTTCTTAATCGCAGCTCTGAATTAGTTTAGAACGAAGTAAATTTCCAAACAAAATGACAATGCAACTATACAAATGTACCGGCGTCCTTTCATACGCATTTAAATTGCAAATCACCGAGATTGCGGATTGTAGTGAAAACCCCAGTGACCTCCCATTTCCCCGTGGGATCGGAAAATCTTGTGCAACATTATTGATCGGTTAACAGAGCCGACCAATAAAACAATCTATTATCAGCCCGTGCGACGGATTCGAGAAAGCTATGTACATACATTGTGCATACATGTGCTCATAAGTACATACAGATGTACATAGATCGTCGCCATCAACAACTTTGGATGAATTGTAGTAGTGGGCTTGTTGTAGTTGTTGCTGTTGTGTCTGTAGCGCGTCTAGTGAAGGCGGCTCTTCTTCTTCGCGAAGCGAACTATAACGGAAGAACTTGTAAAATTCGCCACAGGCAAAGTATTCAGTGGTTTTAGCTCAAATTTGGACAGTTGATGTGTATGCGAGTGGTCTATACGCGTGCCAAAAATCATTTAAGTAGCTCCTTTGTAACTCCCCCAAATCGACCAAGTTTGCCACTCCTCGGGAAACTCTCCGATTTTGATGATTTCTGAAAAATCAGATACTTTTGAGCGATATCTACCGATGGACCCGGTTTGAGCCGATTCCACGCACTCTTTCATATAGAAATCATTTAACGAAGAACAATTTAAATCTTCCACCAGCTGTAAACAAAAAGTGCTTCGCTATATTTGCCCCATCCATTTGACTTATCGCCAAACACGCGGCTAACCGGCTCGCGTTGGAGCGAAAGAGAGGGCCGAGTGGGGCGAAATGGGGAGCTCCATTTGTGTGCTACTTGCTTTGGGGAAGAGAGACAGCAAAGAGCGGTCAAATCTGTCGAAATTTGGGTTGAAGGCCTGCTTGTACGTATCTGTGTATCTGTGTATCTATGTATCTTATAGTTCACACGTAACTCAAGTACCCGGAATGTTTCCATAATCGTCAACCCAGGAAAGGCAAGACTACAATGAGTTTCAAGACATTTCTATGATATGCTAATAAGAAGTTTCTTACCTTTCTGTTATTTTTTAATTACCCAATGGACAATATGTGCGTTTCCTTAATGGCATATGTATCTGGCATATCTGATACGTTATTTTAAAGTGAAATATACATATTGAGCTTAGAAGAACTCCCAAGAAACTATTTACTGTATGTAATGTAGTGCAGGTATTAATATTTAATATAATAATATTTCGGTTTTCTGTAGCAAGAAGTATTTCCTGTTTTAGTATTCACATAAACTACTTAAGTTGAAGTACGCAGTATATATCGCAGTTTGGAATGCACTTTCTGGCGGTCTAATGAAACTAACTAAATATATAATCCTCCTCATTTTCGCTAATCACCCTATGACTATGTGCATTTTTCTACTTTCTATCGATTAGTGCCAGTCACTACCGCCAATAATTTATAGACCCTCAAATTAAGTGTAAACTACCCAACCGTTTATGATTAGACAAAGCTACTGATAGTTTTCGCATTTTGTACTTATAAATTTCTAAATATGTGTACATTACGTGTATACGCATACTATTTATAAGAATGGCGAACTGCTAGAGGTCAGTCACATTACTGTCCTTGGGTGAAATAAATTTATTGGCATGCCAATCTGCTGAAGAGCGAATATTTTAAATATTTAAATGAATTATATAACATATAATAGCCTTCTATAATTCTAGCAGCAGTTCGTTCAGATCTTGACAGCAATGCAAACTCATTAAAGTTGAACAAACAGATGAGCCAGCGAATTTGTTATCGGGTGTTAATGGCAGATAAGGCAGGATCCTGGACAGGAACTTAATGTGACTTGCAAGCTGTTTATCACGCCAGATTGTTCAATTGGTTATCAAGTTGTTTTCGCACATGGGAGGATCAAGTCGCATATTACTGTATTACGTCTGTATTTGCAGAATTTGTATCGTTCAGATGCCAGCCAAAATTAGGTTAATTGCCTTTGTGGCGAAATAATACTCCAAGTGGCGGTCTTGTTATTCAAGCCAGAAACCAGTACATCAAGTTTGACATTGAGTTTGAGATGATTTTATTATAATAAAATATTATATATGCGTTTCATATATATTTCATGCGTTGCTAAGTCTAAATAATACACAATCTGTTTTGAACAAGCAAACTATCCATACAATTACCCCCCTAGGTGTACGATCTACGCTTAACGTCTATGCAGATACGGCCATGTCAGCAGTAGAGACCCTGGCCCTCGTTCTGCTCCACGTGGTAGTAGCAGTACTGCCGCTGGGTGGGCGTTAGACCCATGGTCTCCGCCTCCGCCTTGAACTGCTCGATGCCGCCGACTCCGGCCAGATAGCCGTTCAGTTTGGTGGCCACGTAGCTGGTCTGCAGCAGCTTGGGGCTGAGATTGAGCGAGGAGGCGAGGTCCTTGTGGCCCTGCAATCTGTACTTCTGGTGGTACCTGTAGGCGAACAGGGAAATTCATATCGAGCAACCCAGATATTCATAGTTGAAACTCACGCCTCGGCTGGGTAGAAGTTCTCCTTGGAGGCAATCTCAGTGGTTATGACCTCCGGGGCCCGGCGCTCTTGCTCCTCCAATTTGGAGGCGTGAGCCACCTGCTTCTGCTCCTCGTCGTGGTACAGAATCAAGGAGGCATACTGCCGCTTGATGGGCGTGGTCAGCCCATACTCGTGATTGTTCCAGAACAGCTCCAGCAGCTCCTTGAAGCTAATGACCGTGGGGTCATAGTCGATTTCCAGCACCTCCGTATGATCGCCCCTGTTGAGATGGGTGGTTAGTACCGGATCCGAAACGATTATGGGATGGAACATGCAGGGACGTGGAAGAAGACACATGGATGATTAATGCTCTATACTCGCTCCCTCACATTTTACGGTACGTTGGCAAGTCCGAGCTGCCGCCGGCGTATCCCACGGTGGTCCTCAGCACCCCACGGGTGGCTCCATACAGGGATTCTGCGCCCCAGAAGCAGCCCATGCCGAAGGTGGCCGTGGCTTTGGTGACATTCACGTCGTGAACCGGCGAAATGCTCAGTTCCTTTTGTTCATTGCGAACGGTGCTCTGGGGGAAGAAGAAGAAAGGGGGAGTATGAGCAACAGATTTCTGCAACTTTGAACATTCGATTTTAGTTTAGTTTTCAGCGCACACCAGAAACAGAAATGTTAGACCGTAACCGTAGCCCGGCAAACAGCGCATTTTAGGCACAAAATTGTGTATAATAAATGCAAAAGTCGGCGGATTTGGAGGTTTTAAAGTATTTTTTCGGCACTTTGTTCGCGTCTGATGGCGTCAGCAAAATAATAATGCACTTTGTGCGCTCTTTTGAAATCGCTCTCTCGCTCTTTCCGGTCTTCGCGCTCTTCGCCTTGCACTTGCAGCTGTCGAACAGCTGATTCAGTGCTATCTCCCTCGCGCACACTTTTGCAAAATCAATTTCAAAATCAAGGTCAACGGAAAAATCGTTTTAAAGAAAGTAAAAGTCGCTGGTTCACAGCGCCACACATCGCACAGCTAACGACTAACTTGGTGCCAGCTTAACCGCTTTCAATCTATTTAAATATGCGTCCTGTGCGGCCAAAACTTGCCTTGAAATTACGAAACAGTCGCGAAAACATTGTTATGTGTAAACTGCTCAACTGTTGGGAAGCAACTGAACCTGGCCAAAGCAAACCAAATTCCCCTAGCCAGCAAAAAAGGTGTTCGCATGTGCTTTAATTATTCTGAGCATTAGGAGTCGGAAACTGGCTTTTGTGACTAGGCACATCCAAATTGGCCACTCGGCCTTGTGGGGTTCAAGAAACTTTGAGGCTCTTTAACAACGAAGTAATAAAAGCACTGTTTATTAGTCACATTTGGCAGACAATTAACTTCAGATATTTCCTAAGCTGTCATAGCACTATTTAATGTACATTAAAAATGACTAATTAAACCGCAGGGCATGAGGATTCACTGTTCACAGGATTAGGCACCAATCACACCAATTACTCACCAGATCCTTGAGCTCGGGATGAGTGACACTCGAAGTAATAGTCAGAGACATGATTTCACTAGTTGAAGTTGTTTATTTAATGTGTCGCCCTTAACACTTAAGGCTGAACTGATGCATCTGCAGAAAGGTCGGTCCAATTTATACTGCCGCCTCTCCCGCTTTCTACGCGAGTGTGGAGAGGGCCGCGCTATCTTTATCAATTCTCCCGCTCATCAGTCCTCTGGCGGCCCGTCTCTTTCTCCCTCTGCCGATTCTTCGCTGATTAAAACTGCGCAGCGCTACAGGTTTCTTGGGATCGCACAGCTGGGACATTTGATCAGGGTTATAATTTAATTGCCTTTAATATTCTAATTTGAACAAGTCAAGTGCAGTCTTGTGTTCTCCGGATTGTGGACCAACTGTTATTTGCTGGGCTCGTATTTCAGCCGGCTCAAGCGCAAAACGAAGTCCAGCAGGAACATTTGTATTTTTATCTCCTTGGGGTTCTCGGTGACGTAGAAGCCGGGAACGCCGGCCTTTTGCAAAGTGGATTGTTGGTCGTTAACCTGTGCAAAGACGGTAGATATTAGTTCAAGTACATTATGCAACATCTCAAAACTAAGGAAGCATTCCAATACAAGCATTCGAAACTATAATTACATTATAATACAGATTTGTCTAAACTTAGAACGAAAATAGCCCAGTTTGGGCTAGGACTATTGTTGTTAAAGAAATTTAGACAGTAAGTGAACGACTCTTCACCTTTTGGTCTAGTATTTCGATAATCTTCTTGTCCGACTCGATTAGTTTCTTGGTGTGCTTGATCTTCATGAGCCCCAAAATGTGGTGCAGCTCCTCGGGATCCTTGATCTTGCTCCTCCACTCGGCCACCTCGATTTCGTACTCGTTCTCCACCTGCATTCGCATTTTAATCAAGTGTCTTTCCGTTTCGTGCTGCAACTCCATTAGTGCTTTGACTATCACAAAAATGCCCTCGTTTAGAACACAGTTGGCGAGTTCGGTGAGTAGATCATAGGAAATGCGTGTCTGCAGGTTTCTGTTAATCAAAACAGCGTTAAATATTTAAGCAATGCAAATACTAAGGACTTACTCGGGAAGTTCCGAATGGTAAGTGCGCAATTGGTCCACCAAAAAGTATATTTTGCGCTGTAAAAACTCCGGAGTTGGCTGCTGATGCTCCACTACTGCCTCGCTGCTGTTTGAACTACCTTCGCTGGTTGCGGTCATGTCCGCCATCTTAACTGAGTTGTGATTTTCTATTTATTTACAATGAAATGTGTGGTATTGCCCAAGTATTTTCGACTTCTAGTGACGTTTAGTGCATCCGCACTCCAAATTCGCCTCTTTGCCGCAGGAACAGCTGAGCGCCAGCGTTGCCAGATGCAGCAGCAGCAGTGTGACCACAAACAGTTTGGCTGCCCACATATCGATAGGTCAGAGGTATATTTTAAATGTATTTGTATATATTTTTTGTGCTAGAGCGCGAGAAAATTGTGACTTGTACGATTTGAAATCAATGCTGCTTATGACTAAGGTGATTACATCGGCTCGTATTATGACTAGAAATTCAAGGATTTGCGCGCCTTGATAAAAAGCTTGTCAGCCTCGTAAGTGCACATGCGATTCAGTTTGTTTTTGCGACGCTTTTTGAGCTCGGTTTGGAACTTTCCGTGTCCTCCGCTGCTAGGGGTGGCTGGTACCAGGGAATACTTCTTGCTGTCCAGGGAGTAGCACTCGCGTTTCCCCAACTCCCTCTGCTCCTTTGGGGTTTCCACGATTTTCAAGCTGTTTAGGCGCTGCAGCACTTGGTTGGTTTCATTGGTCGACGACATGATTGGTACTAGGTCGGTTGATCAGGAGGTTAATGTGAAGCTTGGCGTTGCCGACTTGCTACTGATTTCCTTTTGACCCCGGCCCTCTTTATATCCACTTGATGTGGGTGCGCAATTTCAGGACTGTCATAAATATCTCTGCGGAAAATACTGCTTATCCGTTTTCCACATCTGTCACTTTTATGGCGCTACCTGCTCGTAATTAAATTTTCCTCTGAAAAGTTTCGCTAATCCCGTTTTAATGCGTTCAAAATTACGCGCGCAGGTAGCCAGGACGTTTACTTTCTGTGTAATGGGTTTTAGCAAAGACACTAGAATAATATTATTTAAAAATTTATGCCGTGACTATTATTTTTTTAAGAACTTGTTTTAATATTCTTTAGTTAAAATCGCCGCTACCGTTTACATATAAATATTTTTATTATTAATTATCTGTAATATATGTATATTGGTGTATATTGGTACCCAGGGAACACCACGGGGAGGACATTACAATTGTAATGGGGTCGTATATTTATATAATAATAAATGTTAAACATAAAATATTTCCATGTTCCCCAACTAAGCTAATTTTCTAACTATTGCTTTTCGATATAATTTGCTCCTTTTTTAATTCATTTTATTACATTTTTGTTCTATATATATGCATACATTTATTTTTAGTCGTCACTAATTTTTCAATTTGAGATAGAATGCTGAGTTTTTGCTTTTGTTTATCAGCTGTCACAGTCCACTTGCAATGCTTAAAAAGTAAAACTTTTATAATTTTGTTTAAAATATGTATCAATTTTATGCACATAACAGTCATTATTTGAGTGAAACCATAATGAGAAATCGCTACTTTCATTTGTGCACTTAATGCATTGCTCTACAATAAATTGTTTTATACACCGTTATTTTTTATTATTTTTTTTGCAATTTGCACTAATAAATATATTAAATAAATAAAAAACTTCATATGCAATCTATGGCAAAATTGAATTCTTGAGGCAGGACCAGCGCACCTAAGAATCACTAAGATCAAATATATTTTCCACGTCGCAGGCTGAATACTCTAACGACATATTTTCTAGTATAAAGTACTTATTATAATAAAGTAATATTAAAATAATTCGGTATTATTATGTACATTTATTCACCTATTACTATTTCTATGATGTAATTAAATAATTATCATATTAGGGCAATCCAAAATTCGAGTTTTTACGAGTACTTCGTACTCGATTGCCAGAGTACAAATAATATAGATTTTTGTTTAGGAAACATATTTTCTTGCAGCCCTATTATTCACAACTAGTTTTAGTGAAGACTGTAAGGCATGTCTTCTAATTTAGAGTCACAAAATATTTCAAGTAATCTCTCTTACCGGTCAAGCAGTGAGTGTAGTGTATGTATAGTGTATGTACCGGTTTGTGTATGTATGTATGTATGGATGTATGTGTGTATGTATGGATGTATGTATGTATGTATGGATGTATATATGTATGTATGTATGTATGTATGTATGTGTTACTTGCACACAGTAGTAAAAATTGTCTTAATTAAAGCCTGAAGAATGTTTAACTTACTGTCGGAACACATAATTATCGCCGCTTTTAATATTTGTTCAGGAAACATATTTTCTTGTACATATATATGTATATATGTATGTATGTATGTATGTATTTATGTAAGTATGTATGTATGTATGTATGTATATATGTATGCATGTGTTACTTGCACAAAGTAGTAAAAATTGTCTTAATTAAAGCCTGAAGAATGTTTAACTTACTGTCGGAACACATAATTATCGCCGCTTTTAATATTTGTTCAGGAAACATATTTTCTTGTACATATATATGTATATATGTATGTATGTATGTATGTATTTATGTAAGTATGTATGTATGTATGTATGTATGTATATATGTATGCATGTGTTACTTGCACAAAGTAGTAAAAATTGTCTTAATTAAAGCCTGAAGAATGTTTAACTTACTGTCGGAACACATAATTATCGCCGCTTTTAATATTTGCTTAGGACAAATATTTTCTTGTGGCCCTATAATTCCCAACTGGTTCTAGTGAGGACTGTAAGGCATGTCTTCTAATTTCGAGTCGGAAAATAGTTCAAGTAATTTCTCTTACCGGTCGAGCAGTGTGTAGTGTATGTGTAGTGTATGTACCGGTGTATGCATGTAAGTATGTAAGTAAGTATGTATGTATGTATGTATGTATGTATGTATGTATGCATGTATGTATGTATGTATGTATGTATGTATGCATGTATGCATGTATGCATGTATGTATGTATGTATGTATGTATGTATGTATGTATGTATGCATGTATGTATGTATGTATGTATGTATGTATGTATGTATGTATGTATGTATGTATGTATGTATGTATGTATGTATGTATGTATGTATGTATGTATGTATGTATGTATGTAGTAAAATGTTGCACAAAGTGGTAAAAATTGTCTTAATTAAAGCCTATAAAATGCCCGAAACGTATTTGAAACGCATTGGCACAATAGCAAATCGTGTGCAGTGTGAGTCAAATTCTGATATTTGACGTTTGAAGTGCATAACTTACTTGAGACAGGATATTAATGTCTAAGCCAAGCTTATAGATAATAATAATAATAATCTAAAGAAAATAGTCCCCCTAGAGATAATTGTGTTGTACAGGCCCAATGCTTTAGATAACCCAACATAAAAATATAAGTAACTGTAATTACAAATTAGTTAAATTAAATTAAATTGAAATTAAAGTATTTTGGGATAATACAAAAATGAATTGTATATCTATTAAATGTAGTCTCTAATCATTTAATACGCTTTTAAAAAACGCGCGCAGGTGAATGAACACAATGCCATCATAGGGTGTGTACACACTGGCGGAATCATATGGTGAGCATACACGTGTATCGGTTGAACAGTTTATGCGTCAATCGACTCCGCGAACTGTAACAAAAAACCCCATTAATATTACATCCCAAAGGCTTTCCTTAAAAATTGGTGCGGCTCATTATGGTGAAAAGACTAACGAAATAGCTGCGTGTCAAATAAAATCACTGCCTTGGATTGTAGCCATACAGAAGTTACGATCTGCTGAAGCTCGAGTTGTCTCCCGCATGAACGCGTTAACAGTCGGCTCTTTGCGGGTGTCTCTCCCAACATTTCGTTGTGCGATTTGAATGAGGCACTTGCATTGGAGCCTCGTCCGCCGAACACAGAACGTTATAAGCGCCACACGCGCTTGCAGGAGCAATTGTCGGCGATTTAAATCGAAAAGAATTGATACGGGCGCGGTGCCATCAGGCCATCAGAACCAGAATCGGCATCGGAATCAAAGAGCACTAAGTGAATCGGAATCATTGCCCTAAGTAAAAGTAGAGTGTATTGTGTAACCTTTCGAGACGATGACAACAGGCCAAAAGGAAGCGGCGTGGGGCAGGGTGGGCTGCCAATGATCATATGATTGCCTAGAGCGGAAAAATACCCAAAAACATAGCAGTCGGCTGGGCATTTCGTTGCCAGAAACGAAAACAACAATACGTAAATCGAAAGGACAAAATATATTTTGCCCTGGTATTCTCCATCTCCCCACCACCATGTACACAATCAACAAGGGACCCAGCAAAATCGTTGCTAAAACGCGTCGCGGTGAGTCCAAAATATCCATGATAATAATGGTTAATAATGCCACAATAGACCCTTCCAAGAGAACAGCTGTTATGTCACAAAAACATACTCAACAAATACGAATACAAATGCTTTAAGAGAACATATGTAGTTTAAGAGAGGAGCAGAAAATCTCTGGCGCTGTTAACTTTTTGTTTTGCCGGCGTTTTCCACTGTAAATTTTATAGCTTTCCATTGCATGTTTTCCATCCGCAGGCCTGGCACAAAATTTTGAAAAATTCGAAAGCATCAAGGAAAGCGGTCGCAGGAACGCCAGTTTCGACCTGAACACTCCCGAGGAGCACAAAAAGTAAGAATGCCATGCCATATGCCCATGACGAAAAATCTTGGGCGCTTATGCAAACGGACGGCACATGGTGAAATGTTGAAAGCGGGAAATGCGGGAAAAGCGGCGGGGCAAAACGTGGAATGGGTTCAAGACCCTCGTCTTATCGCTCTGACATTTTGTCGCAAGAATCCGCGGCGACCTAGCACGGTAATGCTAATTGCTCCCGAGCAAACAGTCTTATTCTCCCTAGGAGACCCATTGGAAACACGTGGGTCAGGCGTCGGTTATCGACTCCTTTTTAATTTAAGCGGAGGCATTGACTTTCCACGTCCGTTACGTCACGGCTCCAACGTAACTCTTTGGGCAACAGCCCACGAAGGCTGTGCCAAAAAAGCGTGATTAATTAATCATTTTACCTGCAAGGGTGTGGAGCTATTGCAAAAGTCTGGCTGCAATCAATGCGTCCAATTTCAATCTTACTTCCAGCTTCTATGCCATCTAGAGTGCCTATAAAAAGTTTAAGAGTGTATATCTGCTTCGTGTTTATCTTTGTGCCTCTTATATCAGCTGTACTGTGCTGACTGCTAAAAGTATCTTATGGATGCGACTTTTCTAGAACTTCACATGGCCGTTGCATCTTCACAGGATCTTCTGGGCATTTAATATATAAATAGATCATATATAGATCACACTCTAAATATAATTTACTTAACCCTTTGCCGAAACTCTTATCTAAATTAATAAGCCAGAAATCCTCGTCAGTCAATGGATGGGTACTGTTTACTATCTGCCACTGTCGATAGCTTATCAGTTCTCATTGCTCTTATAAATAGCAGCAATCAATATACATGTTTATTGAGTTTATAATTGTAATATTTAAAAGCCATTGTAGTCACGATAGTTCGACTAATGCAGCGCACTCGCGCCTTCGCCTTCCTCGAATTAAAATGCATTTAGCGTTCCTCGAACTGAGCAGCGAGTTGTCGAACCCAAGTTACCCCACCTTATTCCTTATTCCCCAAGTGATTTATTTTCGTAGTCCACATGTTTGAGGAGAGCTGTGTGGTTTGCATAAGTGCCTTCTCATGGAAATTCAAACAAATTGTTATTAAAATTGGATACATCTTTTCGAATGTGGAAAACAGCATACCGCGTCCGGTGTTTCAACAGAGTTTCGCCTCCAAGCGGATAACGCCAACCAAACTGATCGAGGATGAGGTGATAACGCCGCAGCACGAGGAAATAATACGTTACATAAATGACTGTAAGTCTGAGCATTTTAAGTTATTAGTATTGAGTTGTGAGTGATTCATTACCTTTTGACAGCATGGAACATGCTGGTGGCGCAGAACCCCTACGACTCGAGCTCATCCGCCAAGCCGCTGGAGAAACCGGTGGCGGATGCCAACAACAACAGCGCCGCCAGTCCTGTGGAGAGCATTATGGCCAACAGCCCGGTGCCCGCAGCCTCGACAGCCACCGTCTGGGTGGAGCCGCCCAGTCCAGTGCTGCAGGACTTCAAGCCCTTCGACCTGGAGTCGTGGTGGGGCCGTCGCCTCTTCCAGAACATCACCAAGAGCCTCTAGGATGGATCGAACGGGCGACCGAGCGGCAGAGCCAGCTCCTTGGTAGTTCTTAACTAGCCAGTGCTTCCTAATGTGCATGTACGTTCGACTGGACATGGGCAAAATCACACTAGATGATGGATAGATACACGATACATTTATCTGTGGACTAAAGCAGATGAGACGAGACACTTGCGTAGTCTTCGGCTAGTGGCTAAGTAGATATCACTTTGGACGTTAGTGGCAGGAGGCCTCCGAGGGGGCAAGTTATCACCTGGCTTAGGTTCTCGCTTATAAAGTGTGTAAATGCAGTAAATTAAGAGTCGTCGCGGTTGGCCAATGTAAATAATCCGATTTCTGATTTACAATTAAGAATGTGTTATAGAGTTTTAAGAAACGTGTCATCTGGATTGCTTCCAGTTTTTTAAAGTCAACACTCGTGTGAATTGTATAAAGCTAAGGTTCAAACTAACTTCAAATTGTTGCAACCCATTTTGGTTTTACTCATTTTTGTAAATGACGATTCCAGTCTAACCATTTGCCTGTATATACTAAGATAATTGGATTTTATTACGTGAACTATAGTTAAGATTTAGGAATATCCCAAGTAGAAATTGGTTGAGCCGATTTCTCGCCACTGGCGTCGCCTGTATTTAGTTTCTCACTATAGGAAGTTTTATGTTTAGCATAAATAAAAAATTCACCAAGTTTCAAAATAATTTTCGCTTTCAAAAACATTTCAAAAGTTAAATCAATGGATGGAAGCGGGAATGCTAATATTCACTTTGTGTAGTTCATTGCAAAAGTACAAATGAATTGTAAGTGTAATAATAAATAAATTGAGATATACCTTCCCTGCTTACATTCAATATTTGCTTAAACATGCAATCTCAAAGCTAAATAGTGAGTAAATAAGTTCGTTTCATAGATTTTTCATCACATATTCGGATTTTCAAATTCAAATTTGGTATATTTCCAAGCAGGTGAGATACTGATACTGAAAGTATATTCTAACGATGTGTCGCACAGCTTTTAGTATTTAATGCCGATCGCAGTTTGGTCACTCTTCCAAGACCTGCCGACGATTTTTTGTCAGGATTAAGTTTATTATTATTTATAAAATAAATCAAAATGTCTGGCGATGATGCGGCCGTTGCGGAGCTGGAATCCCGTCTGGAGGATGTCAACCTGGAGGAAATAGCAGCCCGGCATCGTCGCGAGCGCAAGGAACTGCAGGCCAAGCTGCAGGCCATGAAGAAGAATGCGCCGAAAAACAATAAAAACAAGCGGAAGGAGTTCCTGGAGGAGATGGCTCGGCTGGAAGGAGAGCTGGAGCAGCGTCACAAGGCGGAACTGAAGGCGGCGGAAGACATGGAGGCGCCAGAGGTGCCGGAAGTCAAGGAGCCGGTGGAAAAGCCGCAAGCTGCAGTGCCAGATGACGAGGAAGTTGAGGAAAAGGAGGAGCAGCTGGCGCCCAATCAGCGGGTTTCCAAGGCACAGAAACGCCGGGATAAGAAGGCCAAGGAGGCGCGTGCCCGCGAGGCTGAGATCAAAACTGAGCTGAATAACGCTGCCAATCAGCCAACACCAAAGCTAATCGAACTCCAGCAGATCACAGCAAAGCTATCCCAGCGTCAATTATGCCTTCACCATGTACCCTCCGATGGCGACTGCTTGTACCAGTCCATCAGACACCAACTCATCGTAAATGCTCTTCCAGGTAAAAGTTATCCAGTCAGCCCATTCACTGCATACAGCACCAAAACTAATCCATAATCTTTGTACTAAAGGTCACAGTGTTCAGGAGTTGCGGGAGGAAACTGCCAACTACGTGCGTGCCCACAAGGACTCGCTCATCTCGTACATGGTCCATCCGGAAACAGGAGACCTGCTGAACGACGAACAATTCGAACAGTACTGCCGCGACATAGCCAAAACTCACGCTTGGGGTGGCCACATAGAACTGAAGGCCATATCATCGTTACTCCGGGTGCCCATTGAAGTTATCCAAGCGGAAGGAGCACCGACGCTCTTGGGACAAGAGCAATTCGGTGGATCACCGCTGGTCATATGCTACCACCGCCACATATACCAACTGGGCGCCCACTACAACTCCACGGTGCCAGCAGTCTGAAAGGCAAATGTCCAATGACACCCAACCTCAACTCACTCGATTTTGTAACAGATTGTTTTATTACATATTATGTTGACTTTATAAATACGATGCATTTGGAAGATTTGAATTATTGTCAAAAATTGCAAGTATGTAGTAGTTATATACAATAATAGTCAATATAATAACAATTCTAGGTTAGCTAGCAACTTAGTTAGCTGGATTTGTTCTAAGAAAATATTTCCTATATAGAAAAATAATTTGTTTAGCTCCAATTTAGTTGTCTTGTGACGATTTAGTGTAAATTCAAGCAATAATTTGATTATTCCTCGAGCCTAACTACTTATTACTTGGTAATATTGTTGCAACAACCCATTATTTGTCCTTTTCTAGGTAAAGCGTTCGATTTCAATTATTTGTCCTTCTTGCTGCTCTTGGGCTTCTTGGCAGCCGGCTTGTTGGGGTAAATAGCGAACATGGCGAGCTGAATGCCGCCCAGGACCAGCAGCAAAAGATTCTGCAGCTGGAATAGAAGAATCGGCGGTTACAGATTACCTCCTTCAGTGGAATTAACTGATCACTTACCACCATCACAGTATTCTTAATGGAGATGGCATAAAGCGTCCAGGAAGCTGCCACCAGATTACCTGCAAAGATAATTGGGAACGGCATTCCCTCCGTGCTCTTCTTCTTGATGATCTGCGGCAGATTCAGCAGTGGGGAGCCGACCATCCACACCAGGATGCCGGTGATCAGCATTCCCAGGCGGAACTCGATCTTGGCGGGATCCTCGAAGTTGGCATACGCTGTGATGACCAATAGGAACACCGAGGAGTAGCCGACCTGCTTCCAGATCGTGCTCCTGTTGCCGCTCGAGGCGTAGTAGTAAAATCCGAGCAGGAAGACGAAGTTGATCGCCAGGCCGATTAAATTCGTGTTGATCATGGCAGCATCATTCATAATGTTTGCCAGCTTTAAGCTGAGAATCGTCCTTGAAGGTCCAAGAATTTGTTAATAAATCACTTTCATTTAAATTGAACGGAAAATAGGCTATTGCATTTGAAAACAAATGTAATGCTGATAATGCTCCCAAAAATTGTGTTTTCCAAAAATTAATTGTTTGAGCTAAGAAACCTTTATGTCATTAATTTATAAAGTTCTTGTATATAAAGCTAGAAATATTATAAATTCCAGTTATCTTATAAAATAGACCATAGTTTTGCGTAGGTCGTATAATTTGTTGACCATGTCCAAACCAGTTTTGCTCCATTAAATCGTTACAGAAAGTTCAAATGTAGAGAAATGGAACTTGTTTTCATTTAAAGTGCTCCAGTGAGCATTAATATCAACATTTTATTCCGCCACTTCATTGGAAAACCAGTTTACATATACTATTGTGTTATCAGATGCTATACTAGCAACAGATAGATAAAAAGAGGTACAGGTAGCAGTTGATAAGAAGCTCAGCACGCAGCAAAGCAAATACTCAGCATTATCATCGATCACCCCATCATAGACCCACTACCATGGTGAAATACACCCGTGCTGGCCGAAATGAAATGCAAACTGGCGGGGAGGGAATCGCCCTTGACCCAGACCTCGAGCACCCATTGTATGGAGTGGAATTCGTTTAGCATACAACTGTTGCTTCGCTTGCATGTCTGCGGGTCCTTACACTTGACACAGTCCAAGCTAACACCTTCCGGAAAAGCGACAGTGATGGCATGGCTACTGGGTGCCATATGGCGCTTTAGGTTCTTTTCAGATGCTCACTGTTCCCAGCCAGTAAACAGTGGATACTTTACGCCCTAAAAATAGAGAGTTTCTGGCGGTAAGAGTAAATATCACGAGGGGTCATCCACACCCAGTAGCAATTCGGATTTCGTTACAAAAATGAACAATTATCGAAAATGTGGTGATAAAGATAATGTTTTGCTACGCAAACACTGCAATTCACTTGTAGTAATAGGCAGTGCTATAATTACAGAGCTTATTGTGTGTGGGTACGGCTGACAGGCACATCATTCCCATCACCACCACTGGTGGCCACCCCCTGGAATCTGGGCAGCCGCTTTATGCCGAGCACGTGGAGAGGGCAAGGCGCCTATCTCGCGCCCGTCGTATAAACGGCGGCTCTCCCAGATTTGGACAGACTCTGCCGCACCGGATCGGCATTCGTAATAGGGAGCTCTAGAATTATACACTCCAGATAAGCTGCGCGGCGATAAGACAGCCAAGGTGCTGGCTGGTTCCCGTGATTCCCGACCAGGATGCGGGTTCGAAATGTAACGGTCGCGGAAGATCGAAGCGGAATTCCCCTTCGCCACCGGGTGATGTAATCGATTCCATTGTTATCTTCTCGAATCGAGGGCAAAAACGAATTCGGAACGGCCTTGAGGAGAGTCGATTCTGTGGTGTCATGGCGACAGTTCAAAAATTTAATCAATTGCCACACAGATGCGCTGGCTTTTGTAGTTTCCGCTCTCTTTCCTGCCCCCCACTGGTGTTCTGCGATGCAGTGGAGGCTACTTACAGCACCACTCCGAAGAGAAAAGGTCCCACCGGGTAGACGTCGCTGCTGCCCTTCTTGCGGATGTCGTTCATCAGGAAGACTCCGGACAGGAATTGCAGGGTAGTAATCGTGCCGGCTACCTTGGCGATGAGTTCGCTGTGCGGCGCCAAGAGATCTCCCAGTGCCTCCATGGCTGCCTTTCAAACGAGTTATGTGGGGACGGGAGGGGCCGAGTGCCGCGAGAGTATAAACAAATGAACGAAAACAAAAACTAACGACCGGACCGTTGGACCGACTGGCGGCTGCCGCAACAACAAACGAACAAATACTGAGCCCCAACGGCGGGGCTGGCAACCTTTTATAATCGAGAATCCCCTAGAAATGGACACGCCTCTCCGATTGCCCCAACGTTATCGCCCGCGGAAGCTTATCGGATACGAATTGAATTTCAAACTTCCACGAAGCGAGGCCGCATGGCAGAGCAGTTGGGGTTTCTCTCCGCGGCAACAGGCAAGTATTCCCCAGGGAGCATCTTCTTTTCCTCTGGTATCAATAAATAGACGTCAAATAATAGCTTAAGCTGGGCAAGTGCGCTGATTACTTGAGTTTGTGCTGATCAAACTGAAAGTCACTTGCGAATAAGAGTGTGGAGCTCGAGGAAGATATCTGATGCATCTTGCGGCTATTGGAATTCCACGAGTATGCTTACAAAATCAATTTTATTCAAACTTATCCAACTACAGTCGTAAATAGCCATGCTCACACCTCCTCCTTCAGCACATGCTTCTTTTTCTCGCTGACGTAGGGCACCCTCTTACTCTTCTTGGTGTGCTTGCGCACATTGGCCTCCTTGACCTGCTCCTTATCCTTGACCGCGCGCATCTTCTTCTGTGCATTGAGCACGTGACGCGGCACCTGCCGGTGGCGGGCGATTCGCTTGATCTGCGGATGAGCGGCATACTTCTGCTTCAGCGCCTCCTGGTAGTTGAAGTTGACCCGCTCACGTGGACGGATGACTCCCAGCTTTTCGGATGCATTCGCCTTCCACATGCGGACGTTCATTTCGTCGGAGCCGGAGAAAACGTATCGATTATCCAGGGACCAGGCCACGCAGACCACGTGCTGCATGCGTTTCGTGTGGTAAATATCCCGCGAGTGACTGTGGTGGGCATTGTAAAGCCGGATGGTCTTGTCATAGCTGGCCGAGACGAATTCCTTGCCCGTGGGCGAGTAGTCCACATCAGTGACGGCGGAAACGTGGTCAAAGTGAACCTTCAGCGGCGTTTGCAGCTTGCGGGTGTCAAAGGTATAAAGGCTGCAAAGGATATAAGGTCTAGCAATAGCTCCTCTTCGATAAGCCACTTGCAATTACTCACTTGCAATCCTCGTTGGCCACTGTGAAGTTGAACGCCTCCATGGGATTCCAGGCCAACTTGTTGCTCTTCATGGTGAGGACGACCTTCCGTAATGGCTGCGCCTCTCTCTGGTCGTACAGGATAATGCTGCGATCGCTGGCGCAGCAGGCCAGAATGCTAGTTTCCACGGGGTTATAGGATATGGTGTGTAGGGTATCGACGCCCCACTTTAGAGTCTTCAGGGGATCGTTGTGACTTTCGTCCCAAATGGCGCATACCTCGCCACAGGTGGCGAACTTGTTATCCTTGCGATTGTGCGAGATGCCGTGGAGTCCGAATTTACTCAGTATAGTGTTCACCGGCACCTCATCCTCGCCGACTTCAGGAGCCTCTGCCTTCCACACCTTGATGGTTTTATCGTCGCCCACGGTGAAGATGCGAGCTCCGTTCTGGGTGTAAGCAATGCCGCGAACGAAACCGTCGTGGGCCACGAAGTTCCGAGAGCTAATACGATTTGCCAAATCCCAAATGCGCACTTCGCCGTCATAGGCGCCGGTGGCCAGGGTGGAAAGTTGCTTGGGATGCTTCCCAAAGCAGGAGACTCCGTCGCGATGTCCGCTCAAGTTGCAGACGAAGGGCTTGGCAAACACTCGGTCCAACTTGGTGGCATTCAGGGCACGCACGTATTCCCTGGGACCCTCCAAAGGATGCAGCGATGGATCGTAGTTCCTGGGCACTGAAAGTGGCGTTCTGTTAATTAGCCTCAACTCCTGCTTATTTGCGCTTACTTTTGTGCTGTTGCAGTTTGGTTTCCCGGACATAGTTATCCGGGTTGCGACTAATCATTTTCACCTTCATTCTGATGGCATTTGCTGCGCTTTTCTGCGGCGTAGAAATAAATTATTCGTGAATTTCGAACGTAAACAACATGTGCGTGGTGCAGTGTTGCCGTACGGTAGGACAGTCAGCTGGCAGCATACTGTAGCGGGTTTCGGGTGTGGCAACACTGATGTGAAACTTTTGGGGAAGCACTGAAATTTCGAAATTTTGGCGGGAACTTAGGGCCTAATTCAATTTCATAATCATTTTCAATTGCAATTTGCTATTGCTATTTTATTCCATTGTATACCCAACGCAATACTGAACAATTTCTTTTGCCTTCTACTTAGTACTGATAGCAACCAAAAACGGCAGCAATGCAGACAAAACTGCCACCGTCGTAGGTGAATGTTACGTAATTATCAGACAGCTCATCCCAAATGGCGCGAGCGCCATAGAAACAACCGGCTCCGGTCTGCTGATACAGCATTATGTTCACCACGTGCTTGTACCTCGGAGAAGAGCCGCGACCCTTCATCTTAATGTTGATATCATCGGCGACCTCGCGGCTCCATTTAAGAGCTTCCGACTGATTGTAGCTCTTGTTGGCCAGCTTGTCCCTGACCACTTGGGCCACCAGCAGGCGAATGTACGGCAATGGGAACTTCTTGCCGAAGGCTGGTCCCATGTTGTAGGCGTTGTAGATGGTGACATCAGATGCCGGCTTGTCCTCGTTTCCGGGCTCCCATTCGTCGTCGGAGTCACTATGGGACATTCCATCGGATCGGCTGTCTCCGCTGACCGCGGACGCTCGAATGAAGTCCTTTCCAGTCGACATGGCTTTGGGTCTACTTGTCGACATTTTTGCGATATTTGTATCGCAGTGTTTCGTTCAATCGCTATGTTTCTGTTGGAATAACCGAGAAGTGAAGCCAACTAATCAAATGGGACACATTTTTCCTGGCCACCTGGTTTTCCTAAAAGGAAAAAACCCTGCAGAAATATACGCAAGTTTTGAGCCTGGCAATGATAATGATATCTATGGTTTTGTTGGGTTTTATTTTGCATAAACATATTTTTGTTTTTTTTTTACACTTTTCATTGGCTAAATGAAGCAATTTTTTTCTAGATAAAGGACTTCAATGCTAACCTAACGTTAAGTAGAAACTAAAAGTGAAGATTTAACGAGCTGAATGCCTGTGACTGCGGATGCGAGGCTGTCGATTGGAGCAACTGTGAACGTAAGTGCCACTGCTGGAACTTGAGGGATCCTTGGCCCGCGGAGTGAGTGCATCATTGTCTGGATTCTGGTGCTGGCTCTGGCCCCTTCCCATTTGCTCCTTCTTGAGCTGCTGCTGCTGAAGCTCGTGGACTTTTCGCAGGCAGCAGCAGTTGCGAAGGGCATCCATAAAGCACTCCAGGTTCCTGCGAAAGTTCTCCAGATGCTCCGGAGAAATGGGCGTCTTCTCCGCATGACAGCACTCATCGATGGCCACCTGGGCGTGGAAGATGCACTCACTGGCCTGGCCGAGTGTGTTCTTCAGGTTGAAGATTTGCTGTTTCTTCTTCAACTGCATCTGGATATACCGAGTGCACAGCATCTCGAAGCGGCGCTGTTCACTCCGGTACTCATCGAATAGCTCGTCATATTTGGAGTGCAGCTCCTCCGTTTCGCATTTCAGTACCTTGAGGGCCTTCTCCCTCTTGGCCAACTGCCGACGACTCTGGCGATGGGACACGGAGAGCTCATCGTATCTGCAAATACGTCCGGGTACTAACTATATGGTAACTATATATAAAGTGCATAAAACTTGGTAAAACATGCCATAGACATTGAAGTCTAATAAAGTGCCCGAACACTCACCGCTGTTGCATGAGCAGGGGACTGATGGAGTCGTACAACTCCCCAATGGAGTTCACATGGGATCCGCTGGGGCGGATCTCCTCCGGATCGCTCTCGGCCGAACTGGAGCTATCGATGCCCCGGAGCAGCTGCACCAGTCGCCCGTTCCGCTTCTTCTCCGTGTCTAGGGAAAACACCAGTTCCTGAACCCGTTCCGTCTGCCGATCGAGGGCCATTCGCAGCTTGAATTCCTGCTGCCGATCCTCGTGAATTGTGTGCTCCAGTTCGTTCACCAGTCGCAGTATCTGCTGGACGGTCTGCTGGTAGGGATTGACCACCTGGTCTTTGCTCAGGCTTGCAGCCGCCGAGGCCAGGCGATTTTCGCCCAGTGTAAAGGCCTCGTCCTCTTCGTCCTCTTCGTCCTCTTCGTCCTGCGAGGGAACCAGGAGACTGGAATCGGAGACGGGATCGAAATGGGAATTCTCGGAAGAGCAGCTCGACGTGGAGCTAGAAGTGGCCAGGGAACGACCCAAGTCCCCCTTCCTGGTGGCGGTTCCAAAGCCTAGACCGTTGCTCACACTCCTCAGGATGGTACTCAGGTTCATCCTTGGTCCTTTCCCACTGCGTGTCGCTGTCGTCGTCGATGTCTCCGTCTTGTCACCTGACTGTGAAAATACTCAGGTGTGTGCTGCTTCGTGTGCTCGGGTTGTTTGTCACTAACTGACTGCCTACTTGTGAGTACACGGGAAGGAACAAATGTGATAAAATACTTGGGTTTCGAAATATTTCGAATTTTGTAGATATGATACTCTATCAATGGCTTGCACATTTCATTAAATAGCTGGAAATCAATTTAGGTGTAATTATGTTTTGTAATGTTTCCGAACAGTAATCGGAGATTTTTTCGAGTATACCAACAGCTATCCGAAAGTTGGTGCCTGCCAGGCTCACTTTCCATATGGTATCGCACAACTTTTTAAATTGGTTTCAGTTTTAACACCTTTGCCTTCAGTTTCCCCGGCACTCAATCAAAGTTGTCGTTTCTCCGCCACCGATTTCTGAAGGCTTTTCCGACTTTCCCCAACTGCCTTCCCAGGTTTCCTCTGGTGTTTGTTAGTCGTGCGTAAATTGCCATTAGCCAAAAAGGGTTTCCAAGACTTGATACACTTATTGCATTTTTATGGGCCAACTTTTGTTGTTTTTTCCTCAGTTTTCCTCTTCCTTTGGTTTTGCTGACATAGGGCGCTGCATGTATCCTTGATTAAGAGGGATACGTATTGAAAACTTGATTGAGGTAATTTTGCAATTGGTAGAGAATGTCTAGAACGCTCAGGAGTTGCCTTTGCGTCATGGGATTCAGTAAAATCCTTGAACAAATGATAACGAAGTTGAAGTTAGTTTATGCCATTTTCTTCTAGATAAAAAAGGATTCTAGTATTGGGTACGACTTCTCACATATGTAGAGGCATTCATACTCGCACTTCTTCTCATTTACATCTAATTCACTTAAGGTATAATTCGCGGCGTCATCTCGCTCACAAAACTCGTTTCTATTATGAGTCTTGTGTTCAACCTGGTTGAATGTATCTAATTTGACAGATCTACCAGCAGAGGGCCAACCGAAGATTCCTTCCTGCGCCAAATCCGCTGCCAAAGTCCAGTATAAATCATCTATATCGTTCTTGAAGAGATACTGGTTGACCAAGTCCCATTCCTCAAGGGTCTCAAAAACAATTAAATGGGCGCCTTTTCGCTGACAGGACTCGGCTGCATCAATCAAATTTGCTTTCGTCCTAGTCTCAATGTAATAATATCCGCGGCCGATTCTAACAAATGCGCCTTTCGTAATGTTCCGATAAGTAAAAGCACTTTCTTCACTAGCTGCTGCCACTTGATAACCTCCAGCTAGAGAAAGCATTAGTAGAGTGCACTTGATAAGCATTTTGCGATTATTGAGTGAAGCGCCATTAGACTAAGATGTTTATACCCGTACAAGTTTTCAGAGAGTATTTATCTCATCCTTTTCTTATAGGAAAAATGCTGTTTACCCGTCAACATCAGCATTGTATGCGCACCTATTGACCATTAGTTGTTAAGACGGGAGCAACAGGTGATCCAATAAAATAATAAGCGACAAAACCTTCAAAGCCGTCGATTATTTAACCCCTTGAGTTGAAATTCTGCTTGGTGATCACATCCAATGATATCGAGAAAGGAGGTTCCCTCGACAAGCCGAAGCTTTTATACCCTTGCAGTAATTATAAATATCAAAAAATAGGTTGTACCGCATTGGAACAATTTATGAGCAAAAAAAACAACGAAAAATGTATTACATTTCGACTGTTTTCAATTTATTGGTATATCAAATTAGAGTATTTTATCATTAAAAACAATAAAACAATTATTTTTTTTATTGTTTTTAATTAATTATAACTGTCGCGATGGCTGCAATATGATATTTCTAAAAAACTCCTGTATACCGATGCCTGAAAAAGTCCAATAGCCCCAAATGTAGTCGGCCTATTAATCCATTATGTTCAATTATTTCAATTATTCAATTGATATTTAATTATACATTTTTCCTGATTAAATAAAGGAGTGCCTCGACTGACCAATATCAACTTAATCTGTCAAGGAATCTTAACAATAATTAATTTCATAATTAATAATAATATATAAATATTCCATGTTTTAATGCCAGCTGACCCGCTTTAGAGGAAAAAATTCGCTAACATGTTTGTTTTTGAGTGTAGAGTTCGAAGAAAATATTTGAAGTTCAATATTTGTATAGCTCTAATAGTCGCCGTAAAAGTCGTCAGATCGACTGAAATAGTAAACCTGATCAAAATGAAAATGTTGGATGTGCTTTTATGTTTTTCCCACCTAAATTCCATTCAGTACAATGCGAAGATCTCAGTTCTCATTTGGTGTTCTCTGTTGCCCTCGAGCAAAATTCCCTGGTATTTTATGGTTTTTAGTTTCCAACTCCCATTCTTCGTCTTAAAATAATTTGTTTAATTCCCCTTCGTTGGTGTATTGTTATTGATATAAAGGCTGGATGCAACAAATAGAATTTAATCTAATCTGCATTTTCGAGCTTTATTAAACAACAAAGATTTTCTCCACGCTCTTATCTGCATTCGCAGAACGTAAACATGAACGTTTTCTCTTAGTTGACCGTCTTTCTCTATTTTCTCTGACTGGCTCTCTCTTTTCACTTATTGTCTTTTGTAACAGCTGAGCCATCGTTCGGAATTTTCCTCAGTAAAGCTCCGTCAACGTTGGCGGCTGGCCGCTTCCAAAAAATATTCATTAGAAAGTTGACACAAAAAGTTTGTTATTAAAATTAATCCAAATTGAAGTAATAAAGATAATGGCTCGCCTAATTTCCGGAGTACGCACTTTGTTCCGTCGCTATCCATTCGTGACCAATAGCGCCATCTATGGGAGTCTTTATGTGGGCGCCGAGTATTCCCAGCAATTCGCATCCAAGCGCTGGCTGGCCGTAAGTAATTGCATTTACAGACACTAGTGTGGATATACCCGATATCCCACATCCGAGGGGTATATCTGGCATATCTGGCGATTTCTAATCCTGTTTATGTGCCTGGTAGACGGCGAGCGAGCAGGAGGATATCGATTATGCAACAATAGGAAGATATGCCGTGATGGGCACTGCGGTGTATGCCCCAACACTTTACCTTTGGTTCGTGCCTTTCAGATAAATGAATCTGTACATACCCACATATTATAATTACTTGTACATGTGAACAGTGGCGGCCAACATAGTAGCTCTGCTTTTCTGTTTGAATTCCGATGGTTTAATTTTATAATAATGCTATGAACTCAATTAGAATCTAATTATCATGATAAAATCAATTACATTTTTTACAAAAATTTTGAAATCTTGCACAAATTTGTGATTATAGCATATGTAATTTAAATTACGGAACTAGTATGTTGACCGCGGCTGCCTCTCCATACTAACACTTCGGTGGACCATTCAATTTACTCACCATTCACCCATACTTTTTATTTCCTCAATTTGCTTCGCCGTACGCTTCTGTTGTTGTCTTTGCCTTTATCAATTTGTTTACGATTCCGTAAAAGCTCCATGAGCACGTGTCGCAAGTCAAGAGCATGTCTCTCCGCCACTCACTTTTTCTTCACACTTTCTCTTTAGAAGCACCCTCGCCACCAGAGCACCAAGCTTTTCCTCTTCAGTTGAGTGAGAGGGAAAAGCTAACCAGAAAAGCACGCAACGCACTGATAAAATGGGGCATATTTGCACGACACAAAAGTCAAAATGCAACGTAAGTTTGGGATAATAATAAAAATAATGAAGGAAGTTAGCTGCCGGGAATCACCATTCGAAAAACAAAACATGCAAAAGAAAACAGGAAGCACACAAGGATATACAAACACTAGCCCGGAATATTAAAACTACATATCACACAGCCGTACTGGTTCAAACACTTACACATAAATGCATATATACACCATAAATTTAATACATATACACCAAAAACCTTTATAAACTGTAACTCCAAAAGCACTCTGTATACCAAAAATGATCTTGCTTACTTAGCCTGCTTTAGCATTATTTGTATATCTCAAAGATAATTAGGCACAACTAGTATAATAATTCAAATAATTAATTTCGCAGGTACAAATGGTTAGATCGCGCTTTTCCCGGCACCACTAAAGTTATAATAGTTAAAAAATTAGTACTTGACCAGTTTGTACTAACGCCTTATCTTCTAACTGTGTTTTATGCGGGTAAGATCTTTTAAAGTAAAGTAAAAATGTAGGTTTGTCAATATAACAAACTAATTTGCACTTCCAGGCATGTCCATCATGGAGGGAAGTGAGGATATTTCCCTGGAACTACGAGAAAAGTTCGTGCCGACTTTTATGCGTTCCTGCATTTTCTGGTTGCCCGCCCAGGCCTTGAACTTTTCCCTGGTGGCACCTCGATTCCGTGTCATCTATATGGGTATTTGTGGACTAATTTGGGTGAATATTCTCTGCTGGACCAAGCGGCAGAGTCTGCCAGTGGCAACGAAAGAAATTGCAAGTGATTCGAGTAACCATGCAGCTGCCATAAGGAATTCCGAAACATGAGATTTTAATATACACACCATATCCATGTATATAGTCCTAGATAGTTTTTGACAATGCATTGCCAAATAAAGGAGAGGCAAAGAGTCTGCTGGACTTATTTATTTAACCTGATTGCAATGCGTCGGTATACAGTGCGTATGATTGATGTTCCCATAAACGGAAACTCATCAATTACTACTTACCCTCTATTCATCTCTATTTGTGTGAGTGTTAGTGGGAGTGCGAGTGTGGGTGTGTCTGCTGTTTATCAGCGCGCGTGTGTAAGCGCGTTAAATTGTGTGCGTGTGTGCGTAAATGTTTCCATCAACATTTGCCACATACAAACAATAAAGAACTTTCCTCCCCGAACACCGAGCCCCGAACCTGCGGACTCCAATTGATGGGACATACAGCGAAAACTTCAATTTTGAAAATTATTATATTATCAATTGCCCTTCTTTTGGTATAGCCGTAGCCAGGTGCGCTTCGTCACTACGTGCACTGCCGACCACAGTGGTAATTGAGCTTCCTCACAAATGTGAATATAAGTGCTTTTGTATGTTTGGGGTTCTTTTTGCCTTAACATTTATAGTGGATACTGCTCCCCAATTTATGTCTCTTGTTCAATGGCAGCTATCCGTGGCTAAATGCATTGTAATTCCCTGATCGCATTAACTTTTTGCCTAATTATTGCTCATCTCTACCATCTCGGCCGAATGATGCCCCTGACCCTTGACCCACGAGCTCCCGGAGCGCCCTGCAAAACTAATTAGACGTGGCGTGTTTCGGCTGCCTCCCTTCGATATCCGCCCCATGTAAATGCGTTGTGTGTGTGCGTCTGTTTAACTTATTGCTGTCTATTTAAATTGCAATTTGTCAATATGCGTGTGTGTTGTAGTTACCGCACGCCCATCTGAGGCCACCTCCTTGTTTTTCCTCACTGCTTTCCATTGCACTGGAAAAAATTGTGCCTGGGATTCTGGAAACATTTTCTATAACTAATAAAAGTGCTGAGGCTGGAAACTTAGGAGCAAGCTGAGCAAATTGAATGAGTCGAAATGGAGAAATATTATCAAACTATTGGCCCTACTAAGAAATACATTCATTTCTCAGTTTCCAATGCCAATTTCTCGCTGTGTAGGCAGCCTTACAATTAAACTTCTTGTGCACTCATTAACAGCACATAACGTTGGCCCAGCCCGAGTCCAGGCTGAATTTGCTAAACTTGGCAGACATCGCAGCTCCAGTTTAACCGACCCTCTGGGCCACCGTTCCCCCAAGAATTCTCTTGGCCAGAAAGGCGTCTACTTCCTTTGGACCTCCTGCGAAGGTCCTTTTCCCCACGCCTTTGACTTTGACGTCTTCGCTGGATTCTCTAGGTTGCTGCTGGTTCCTGGTTCGTTTTTTGTGTGTTTCCTTTTTTTTTATTTACATCTGCTTGTTTGTTCAAAGCGGAAAATTAATTCCATCTTGGCTTGTTTCCGTTTATCTTGAAAAAGTATTTCGTCGTCTTTTCGCTTTATACCGTAGTCCACCTCGCCTCTTCAACGGCGCCCCATTTTGTTTTACTTTTATTTTCGACAGCCTGCTGACCAGCTGAAAACTGCTTTTCCTACTTTATATTTGAGTGTGGAGCCGGGGCCAGGGACTATTTACTTCATCTACTCGTTCTGGGCGGACTTTTCGGGTCTTTCCCGGTCCGCTGTAGAAGTGAAGGGTATTTGCGGTTGTCTATGCGATCGGAGCAGGGAATACTTTCATATTATCTTGCATTATTTTTTAAGCCAGGCACAGAAAGCCAACGATGAAGTTATTTATTAAATAATAATGATAAATTATTAGCATAATTTAGTTTCAAGTACAACATTTATTTGGCATTGATATATGCAGAGCTAAATCCTAGCTCATGCTGCATGAGTATAATATATTATCCGAAAACGATTGCGACTATGCAAACATGATTTAACTTACTCCCGCAGGACAGTGGACTTCATATATTTATACAAACGCTTCAATCTCTATAAGAATTTTCCCATTAGAGCATACAGAGTTCCGCGTCCTGTGGCCATTCGTGTTTGGCTTTCCACTTTTGTTTTGTTTTGCTTTGGCTGTTTGCCTTGGGTGGGCGGCGGGTCCTTGGCCCCGCCCACTTCCTGTCGCTCCAGCCATCGTGGCGTGAAACTAGCGCGTCGCCCACCACACGTACATTAAATTAAAAATTAATTTACAAAAATAAACAGAGTTATGCCAGAGGAAGCGTCTCCCCAGCGATACCGACCATAAGAAGCTAATACTAATGCTGCTTCATTTGATTCAATTACCGGAAGCAGTCCGTCCAATCCGTCCGTTCGTCCATCCGTCCGGCGGAACGGAGCGAAACGGATCGGAACGGCCGGACTCTGAAGCTCCACGGAAATTTTCGTGTTTGTCTTGGACACGCGGCAGGAAGTTGGCTGGCCATCCAGCTATCTGGGTATCTGAGTATCTGAGTATCTGGGTATCTGGGCATCTGCTCCAAGGACTTGTCGTAATTACCGCACAAGACAAATAGAAAATGGCGTAAAAACGAGAAATTAATCAACGCTTGGCGCCCTGGCCCACCGCCACTCGATATAGATATATATAGTCCTGTTCCATCCATCCATCTATCCAACCTGATTGCGATTTGATGTGAAGCGCTTCGCAAATATGACAGTGCACAAAATGTCGAGTGATGGCTGTTAGAAATTAAAATGTAAAGTGTGAATTCCACATTCCACGGTGAGGAGTCGCAGAACGCCATTTGTTGCATATTTTCAAAACTTTGGAAAGAAAAAAATTTCCTGTTAGAAAACAACGGAAAGGTAAAAGAGGAAAAATAAAATAACAGTTTGGTTATGGTTCGATTTAAAGGTATTTTTATCAATTTAGCAAAAGCAATGCATAAAACTATGACTATTTAATTTACTCAGTTTATGTCTTAAATGTAATAGAAGAAAAGTAATTCATGTCATATAAAATAGTATTCCTAAGCAATTAAGTGCTATAAATATTGTAACAGTGGTTTTCATCGTTATATCTTTACTACATTTATTCACATTAAAAACATATTTATTTCTAATATCGTATCGTCTAAAAGCATCCGTTTCCTCCGAAGTAGTAAGTAGTATTTCTTCCAGCACTTTCATAAAATTAATATTCAGATACACTTGTGCTTCTAATATCTACCAGCTTTTTCACTTGTAAGCTAGATACCCTACAAGACTGTTTTCCATTGTGGTTTAATTTGCACTTGAAAGGGTTAATTAGTGTTAGACTTCATTTTGGGATGCAGGCACTTCCGGGGTCCTTGGGCTCTCCTTGATTTCCGGGATTGATGACGGACCAGCATAATGGATCTGCCACGCGAGGGGGCATTATAATTTAAAACTACTTCTTTGGCAATCCAGTCGCCACCTTTTCGCCCCTCTTCCGACGCCCCTGCCCCTTTCTGCGCTGGGGGACATCCTGGTGGGGCACATTTGTTCGCCGGCATGTGAAAATTGATTGCTGTTGTTCATAGCTGCGGGATATGGCCAAAGTTTTTAAGTTCCCAATGCCTGTCCCCCGGTTCTGGAGAACCGCCGTCCCAACGCCACGCCCACTTATTTCCCCAGCCCCGGCTTTCCGCTTTTCGGTTGTTGTTTGGGCGCTGAAAAGCTGAAAACAATGCGAATTTTCCTCGCGGGTCTGCCGTCGCCTTGGACCGAGTTCACTCCTCCTTCTGGCCGCTTTTTTTTCTGCTCGTTGTATTATTAAGAAAGTTTTATATTTTTTTGTCGGTTTGGGGTTGGAGTATATTTACATTTGGCAGTTGGCTGCGTTAAGCGGCTTGTGTTGCTAGGGAAATTCTGGGAAGCAGGGAAAACTGGCCGGGAAAACATCTCGGACGAACGCTGGTCAGAAAATTCTGTTGCTGCTGGTGCTGAAATTTTTAATACTCTGTTACCTTGTCGTGCAGACAATTTGATGCCAATGGGAATATGAGTTTTCCCTCTACTTCTCCCATGCTATTTTTCCTTTTTTTTTGTTTTTTTGGGCTGTAGAGCTAAAAAAAACCATATATATTTATATGTATGAAACCCAGTGTGAGCCGGGTTCGTGTAGCTTTATAATTAAGGAAAGACGAGGCGAAAACAAAAGAATAATAGCAAAATAAGAGCTTGGCAACTGTTGGCAAGAGATTGCACCCATGGAGAGCCTGTTGATATGGTTCACCTTTAAATACTTCGAGGTTCAAGTGTCAAAACTAAAATGAAAAATGGAAATTCGGTGAAATTTAGATAGAAGTGAGTGGAATACTTTGCATTACTTTAGCGTAAGTGTTTTTTTTTGCAGGGCAATTTAAATGAAAGCGCAGACAAAATATACTATTTTTACCTGTGGCTAAGTTATGGATAAAGTATATATTATATATTCTCGAGCCGGATCACGGTATTTCCCGATTATGGCATTTTTTCTGCCTTTTACTGGGCTCGGCTAATTATAGAAACGAATAATTCCCGTGCAACTTACAATTTATTTACGTTAATATCCCGCATTTTCGTTTTGGGTCAGTAAAAGCTGATTCATTTTGTGCAAGGCTACTAATTGCCAAAGAAGTGCCAACATTCAATTATACGGCTAAAGCGCCCGCATCCTTAGCTGCATATTAAAACTGGCAATTGAAATTGCAATTACGCAATATCTACATCGGCCATTGGATAAATTAAAAGCGATAGCCCCGACAAAAGGCTAACCCATTAACCCACTCGTGAGCAAGGTCAGCTAAGCAATTAAAAGCGAAAACGGGCTGTGCATAAATGTAACATAATAGCGCCGACATTGTGGTTTTTAATGCCGACCCCCCAGCAGCCACCCACTTAGTTTGACCCCAGAAAAGCCATAACTTTTATGGCACGCACGCAGTTTTCATCCCAGTCGATCTGCAGAGCGAAATGCCATCAAATGCCTCAACTGCCAGCAACACCTGCCGTCAAAGTCAGCCATGTAAATACCCGTGTTTAAAAAAATAATAATAAAAAAGGTCGAGGTTTGTGCCGTGTTTGACTTCTGCCTTTATGTGCATGCAAACGCATAATCAAGCGTGAAGAGCAGACAACCCGCTCCACAAGCATCCAGTCGCAGCTCCCAGATATATGATGGTACATACTCGTATATAATAGTACGTCCGGGTAGTACGCATCCCTGGTGCCCTCGTCCCTGTCCTGCTTACATTTAATTTCACCTTCAGCCACCGAATCCGAACCGCCAAGACGTCGCGTCGCCTGCCAACCAAACCGGCTATCCGAAGCCAGCCTTTTGCTTTATAAGTTCCTTTTGGTGGCGCATACCCTACCAGTGGGTTGTATTAATGTGCTGGTTCTTCTGGTAATTGTAAACGCACATTTCTAGTATAACTGAACAAGTCCTGATTGGATATATCTTTGCAGACTTGCAAAGTGTTTGTCGGGGCGAACTTGCCGAGCAAGGACATTAAAGTGTCGGCCATCGCAGATAATATAATTCGCTTATGTCCTTTCTTTTTTGGGGGTTCCTTGTTGTCGTCTGTGCATTTGACAGGAAAAATTAGTTGGCTACGAAAAGTTTTGGCCTCGCCGTCGCACATATACAAACGTGACTTCCTTGCCACGTGAGAGTGAGAGCGTGTGTGTGTGTGCCAGTGATGCCCATTTAGCCTTTTCCGGACTGATCTGTCCTGTTTTTTACTGCTTCATCCGGAAAAAATGTCAAACAGCCCTAGCCCGGAAATCTGTCCTTTTTTAGGTTTTTCAATCCGGAAATCTGTCCTTTTTAGGCAATGTTAGAATTTTTAATATTTAATTGGTATAATTCCACATTTTTTTGTTTGCAAACTATGTGGCATCTCTTTTAAGCAAAATTATATCGATATTGTGGGTAATCGTATGAATATCGAACTCACTTTGTCAAATTGCCTAAAGAAGAATGCAAACAAAATAATATATAAAAGCAAACATTTTGAGATTTCTGCCAAAATGCCTAAAGAAGTTATAATTAAATAATAATCTATTATTTTGTCATAATTATATTAGTGAGTGAAATAGCGAGGTCTTTAAAGTGAGTAGTAAAAATTGTCTTAATTAAAGCCTGAAGAATGTTTAACTTACTGTTGGAACGCATAGTTATTGCCGCTTTTAATATTTGTTTAGGAAACATTTTTTCTTGTAGCCCTATAATTCCCAACTAGTTCTAGTGAAGACTGTAAGGCATGTCTTCTAATTTCGAGTCACAAAATATTTCAAGTAATCTCTCTTACAGGTCGAGAAGTGAGTGTAGTGTATGTGTAGTGTATGTGTTCTTAAGTGTAATTACTTGCAAGATCACATTGGCATCCCTGTTGAACAAATAACCAGGCAAATGTTATTTATATTTTCTTGTAGCCCTATAATTCCTATAATTCTGAAATTTTCAGCCTATTTTTTCCGTTTGTTTCTCAATCTGTCCTTTTTTTCAGAAAAATATTGGCACCACTGGTGTGTGCCCTATCGCATTCTTCTTCCTTTTCGTCCTGGCAGTTGTAAAATTTGTGCTAACGAAAAACCATAAACAGGTGTTGTTTGTTGTTGACGTTGCATGTGGCCTGCCGCACAATCTGTTCTATTCGTATGTCTGTTTTCTACATAATCCGCTCACCAAGGCTGATCCTGTTTGGTCCTGCCGAGGACCCCACAGATTTCACCCACTCCAATCGGCAGTGCTTCGCAACTGTTCCGGGCACTGAAAGTTATTAAACTTAATGCAGTTTAATTGACCTTTTTGGGGGGCCAAAACTTTTGCACCGTCTGCTGCTGGCGTTTCAGGACGAAATGGGCAAAGACGATGGAAATGGCAACGGCGAAGGACAAACACTCGCCTTCGCATTATTGCTTTTAATTACGGCTTAAACCTATTGACTGGAAATTTTAATATGTTATTTATTTACAATTAACGCCCCAGCAAATGCTTTCGTGTACAACTGGGCGTATGATTTATGGCATTCTCGTCCCCCAGCAATTGTAACTATTGTTGAATGCAATTTCCTTTTGTTTGCGATTGTAAATATATACATATGTACATATAAAATTGTGCGTGTAACAGTTGCCTCTCGTAAATTACAGGTTTAAGGATTTTGGGCGGTGGGGTGTGTCACTTTTAAAAGCCAAAATCTTTGGTCGAAGGGGTTTTTGGGGTTGGATTGAAGCCGATATGAAAATGAAATTATTTATGATTCTCATTTGATGCGACAGCTTTTGGCCAACACGCCCTGTGTACCGAAAATGGGCTTTAGGATGAGGCCAAGCGGAATCACTTAATGGATATAGTTTGGGAGGGTGTATGGGCTGCGTAGTTGATCAATTTGCCACTATTATTTGGGTTTCATTACGAATTAGGAAGCATTTGTCCAATGTGAATGCAACTTTAGCAGTTGTTAATATATCCTTGCTATATCCTGCTATCCTTGCACCAAAGTTATAGTATATAGTATACATAGCTCGCTGTTTTCTATTAGCTGCAAGTGTATTCTAATTCATATTTGTAACATTTAGCTTTCATTGCTTCTATTTAAACTATTTTATTTTTGCATCATGACATATACAACGCTGTTGAAGATGCGCAAAAGTAGCCAGCAATTAAATATTTGAATACTTATCAACATTGTAAGGGATTTCACCAAAGTCAACTCAAGTAATCAACTCAAAAATCTAATTTATTTTATTCCAAGAATATTTATATCATATTTATTCAATACTTTATGTAGCAAGCAAATGGCTACTTACTTTTGTTTCAGTTATTTGTAGTGCTACATCTGGCATTTGAGAATACACTCACCCCGACTCCCCTGAAGTGCCACTAAAATTGTTTTATAGTTTGTCCTTTAACCCCTGCAGCATCTTGCAATGCTTTCAGTTCTCCGAAGACGATTTCCCCGTTCCTTGTGCAGAAGGAACACATTTTAATTTGTTAATTACTTAGTTGCCAGTTGGTAGAGCACGAGGCTGCATACCCGGAATAGCTGCCGTCCGGGCACAGAAATTAGCATATAGTTATATACTTGTATGTAGCCATACAGCCAGGTTAGTCGCTAATGGAAGCCTGAACTGAGTGCACACTGCTTACTGGGGTTTTTCTTGCCGAAGAGTCTTCAGTTGGCTAAACTCAGGTTAAGCCGATCTACCAGAACGTTTTCCTCTTTCCCAAAGTAGGTTTGGATATATAAGTAGATTTTTCGTGGCAAAAACTTAAAATAAGTCAGAAACCGATCCCGTACAAGTTAGTATTATAAAATAAACAGATCAATTCTGGCTCGGTCATGCAACCTCAAGAAAAGGAGGTGGCCTCGTTCAAGCTGCTTCTACTTGGAGACGGAGCAACCGGGAAAACCACATTTGTCAAGCGACACCTGACCGGCGAGTTCGAGAAGCGATACATTGCGAGCCCGGGCGCGATGCCGCACTCACTGCTCTTCCATACCAGCCGAGGATGTTACCGCTTCATTGTCTGGGACATTGCCGGTCAGGAGACGTTAGATGGCCTGCGGGAAGGGTATTACACCGAAGGCCAATGTGCCATAATAATGTTCGACGTGAACTCGAGAACTACCTACAAGAATGTGACAAGTTGGCACCGCGACTTGGTGAGAGTATGCGGCAATATTCCGATTGTTATCTGTGGAAACAAGGTGGATATTGAGCACCGAAAGGATTGGCCAAAGTGGTTTGACTTTCATTCTAAGAACTACATTGAAATGTCCGCAAAGTCGAACTACAACTTTGAGAGGCCGTTCGTCTATCTGTTGCGGAAACTGGTTGATGATCCCAACCTGAAATTAGTCCAGAGCCCCGCACTAAAACCCCCACAAGTTGTTTTCACCGACGAGATACGCCGTCAAGTGGAAAGCGATTTAATGGAGGCCAGCTCCTATCCTCTGCCCACCAGTGTCGATGATGATTCGTAAACTTCTTGATTATTGTTCTCTCAAAATGCACGAGTTTTTGTACCGGCCAAGTGTTTTTCACGATTTTCCCCTTCTGCAAGTGCAGCGTTAATCCTTGCTAAATTTGACGTCCATGGAAGATGTCATGCAGCTGAAGTCTCTAAGATCTTTCAAATTAATAAAGATCTGTGTTCATTATAAAGCACATGTATATAATTGGACGGTGTAAAATTGCAGGCTCGTCTTCTTATTTCTAAATGAAATCCTTTTTATTTTATTGTAAATAATTGTAATTTTCTTTTATTTAAATACCTTCCTTAAACTCGGACACACATGTCCGTGCATTGTTCTGCTGCAAATTGAAGGATCCTGGCCGCTTTCGGGGCCCAAATGAGCCGCTCCGCCACTGGGGATCCTTAATAAGGCCCGCCCCACCCATACCAGCGCACATAAGCGCTTAATGAGTATAAATGAGCTTGATTGCATATTCCAAGGCGCTGGCGCGTCTGTGTGTGCGGGCTGTTTTTTAATAGCCTGCATATGGCGTTGTAAAAGTTTTCATTACACAAACAGCAGCAGTGGCAGCAACTACAATTTACCGGCAACAAGAGCAGCAACAACAGCAGGCGCAGCAGCATCAGCAGCAGCAACAACAACTTATTGGCCTGACTTTTAAGCGCATTTAACACACGGCGTATGCGTAATGTGCTGGCAGAGCGAGAAAGCAGGAGGCTGGCAGTCAAATTGAATACAGTTGCTCGTAAAATGCTTAAGCACCTGCACAGAGCAACGGCAGCAACAATTACAGCAACGGCGGCTGAAAAGGGGACAGCACAAGGACTTCTGCAAGGACCTCACTGAAAAGAATAGTATTTGCAACTCGGTCAGTTATTTCTGATAATATTGCAGCAAGGTTTTATCGCAATTTTAAATGTTCATTTAAATTCTTTGCACAAAGCCTTTTAAAACCATGCAAACCTTAAGAACCAATTCCAATTTTAAGTAAGTATATATAAATTAAAAAAAAAATATTTTCTTTTTTTCAATCTAATTTTTTTGAATGCTTTCATATGATCAGAACAGGTAGCTTTTTTGTAAGTGTACACTTTACGCTAATTTGGCGTTTTACCGTCGAATGATTTTTGAGCATACGCAAGTTACATGCCCATACACACACACGGTCGGGAAATTCTCTGCAAAAAGTTAAAAACTTTTTTTGACTACGGATAGCGGATGCTGTTCCTGTGGAATTTTCTGGGCAACATTTCATCTGCGGTTGATTTTGATTGTGAAAGGATTTGCCAAATTGCTGTTTGCAACGGTGCGGCACAAAATCAAAGGGATTTTCAATACCAATACATTCATGCGGCAGTAGATCGAAGCCATATATGTGGGTGTATGGTTCAGCTTGTGGTTCGCACAATGGTAACACCCACTCACCCACCCACCCACCATTCACCATTCACCGCCCACCGCATTTCTTTTGCCCAATGCCAATGCGTTTAAACAACAGTTTAACAGCAGTTGCCAGCCTTTTGTTATTGGCGAGGCTCTTGGCTTTTCTCCTCCGCAGCCCTCTTCTTTCACTGAAATTTCCGCCTTTGGTGGGTGGGAAATTGGGGAAAGTGGGTGGCCAATGTTGCTGCCCGATTTATGGAAATGGTGTAATATTTTTTTGGGCCCAATAAGATTTTTTCGGTGGCTGTCTAGGGTTACCCAACTTTTGCATATGTGAGCCTAACGAAATGGTATACTTCTTTTGGTGTTGTTTTGGCCATTTTATATCTTGGGCTTAAAAAATGTTAAATTTCGTGCCTTGTGCTCTGTATTTTTAGGATTGTGGCTTTTAAATTTCCACAAAAAATGTAACTTTCGTATTGTACAAATTTAAAAGGAGTTGGATAACATTTTTATACCCGTTACTCGTAGAGTAAAATGTTGTGATATTTTTTTATTATTTTATATATTTTGTAAACTGTTTGCACTTCCACTAGCTAAGTATCTGATAGTCGGGGAACTATCTTGTTATACATATAAAATATAAATATTTTAAACATCTGTATGACAAACGTGTAGATGGGTATAGGTATACATGTGTCCAAAAACCATATTGTATTATTTCGATTAGTTGATGTGGAACTTCCGAAAAACATTACCCCTACTTGCTCAGTAAATATTCCGCAATGTGCTCCCCCACCAACAACCAATTGTGCCTCGTTTTATTATTAAAAACCTTTGACTTTGTAACAACAAAATTTGCTTTTAGTCCATTTTCCGCATCCACGCCGCTGGCAATGCAAAAATAATGGAGAGGGGGAAGATGCGGACCAGGGAAGCGCTCAGCAAAAAGGAATGCAGCCAATAACTTGGCGCTTCATTTTTGCACAATTTTGGGCGCCAAAGGCCAAATAAATAACTGGATATAGCCAAAAACGGGCACAAGAATAGTTGAGCTTTTTCTCCATCCATTCCATCGCGTAATTATGCGAAATGCGGACGCATTAAAAATTAATAACTAAACTGCCTTTGGCAGTATTTGCCATACCGTTGCCCAGTCGCCACCGCCCCCGCACTTGGCTAAGTGGGCGTGGCTGTTGCGAAACTAAAAGCATATTTAATAAACTGCAGCTACAATGAGCGGCATTTGAAACAGACTGAAGCGGATTAAAAGGAACGACCCCTGGAGTCGTAGGAGAAAGATGGCGATGGCCAGCTTATTAAGTATACGCCATGCTGTCCAAATAATAGAAAAAAGGGCGCCGGGAATGTGCATTAAAATATTAAAAAAATAAAATAAAGAAAAAAGAGCAGAAAATAAATCAAAATATGCGGAGCAAATTTATGAAAATGGAATTGCAAAAATTCTTTGACATAAGCCATTAAACCAATACACATAGATATCTGAATGGTGCTAAGCTATTTAACCGTATATCAAATATTAGGAAAAAACTAAAATAAATTGATTAGGCTTGAATTAATATCATGATACATTGAAAACCAAATAAAACTGGAATCTAGTTTGGCAATAATAAACGTTAAACATTGTTGGGAACAAGAATAAATCAACTGTTAATGAATTGCTTTTAAATATTCCCCAAAAAAGTTATTAAATATTTTAGTTATTATTATTAATTTTAATAATATGCAGAAATGCAACAAGTATACATTTAAATACTGATAGACCTAAATTCTTAAGTTTCTAGAAAGAGCTACTCTAACCACTACTAAGTATGGTCAGAAAAAAGTATAAGTATAGAAGAAGAAAATAGTTTTCCATTAGTTCGCTCCTACAAGCCTTTCTTTAATTAACAGGGCTTAAAACACTATTGAATATTCAACTTTTAATTGATTGCATATCGAATGGTGCGTTTATTATTCATAAGCTAGTTTCAAACTAAAGCACTTACCATAAATTTATAAGACAATTTTTCCGGGAGGCAGGAAAAGTCAAAAGGCGTTATTAATAAATACAGAGTGCCATGGAGGCAGCGAAAGCGGATAGATAGTGTGGCAGCTGGTTTTCATTTAACATTTTTTAAGCTACTTCACAGTCCCCCAGCGACTTGGCCCATTTGGGCCAACTAACGCCATTAGCTGGCCCATTGAGCGCTTTGTTGGCTTTCAATAAAAATTTCCATTAAATTGACCCGCCCCGCCTCCCTCGGCTTCTTGTGTGCCCCGTTTTGCGCCGATTTTCCCCTAGTTTTCCACCACTTTCCCACCCCGCTGCACGTCATTTGCTGCATCGCATAAAACGCGTATGCATATTGCCGACTTGCAACTGCTACTGTTGCGTTTGGCAACTGGGCAGTAAATTTTAACTACTGCCAGGCCGGCAATCCCCTCCTCCGCACCTCCCCTCGCTTCTGTTAGACAGATAAATGGCGGCTAGTTTTGCGTTTGCATGGCTAATGGAAATTTGCATCCAGTTGGCGGCTTCCACAAAACTCGCCAAGCGTTTTTTCCACACCCAGCCCAACGGCCCCTTTTCCTAATGCAACTTTGGCTGAAGTCGCAGCGGCCTAGAAATGAGCTGCAACATTATCGATGGCCGCTGCGAAATATTATATATGCAGCTGCTCATTAATGACACTTTCGGGTATGCTCAGCAGGGTATCACTTATAAAAAAAAATTAAGGATTTTTGTCATGTTATTTATGTTATTAAGATAAAATGTGGGTATTGCTGAACAGGCATCGTATTTTTTATTCATTCATATTCATATTAATATTTTTATGCCAAAAAAAAAAAACAAATTACTGTTTTTAAAAGATTTTTTCAATCCTCTAAGTAATTTTGTAAGTTTAATTTTTAGTTTTCATCAATGCCTGGTGACTGCTTATATAACCTTTTGTAGCGCGTTTCCTGAGCTGTAGAGCCTAACCGATAATCCCGCCTGGTTTCGAGTGCTCCAACAGTTCGCTTTCCCTGTGCGAAATCCATTCGATATTGACTGTTGTTCTGTGAGTGCTCCTCTTTCTCAGTGTGAGTGCATATAAATCTTAATTATGTACAATGCACATTTTCTAATTGACTGCACGCACACACACACAAGCCGCCGCGTAGACAGATAGACCCCTATGCGCATTTTGAATGTGGGCAGGGGTTTTACCTAGGCGGCTCCATATTACGTATACGTTATGTCAATTATGTAAGAAAAGTTGCAGCTTCGAGCGATGCCGTGCGCCAATTTTGTGCGCCAAATTAATGTGTGCACTTTAATTGTATGTGAAATATCTTTGGTGGTATTAAATTAGATTAATTTTAGGGTACCACCTTACAAAACAAAATTTTTTTTTAAATAATATGGTATTTATGGTATTTATAATTATAATTATTTTATATTATTATTTAATACTATTAATATATTTCTTGAAGAAGTGAGCAAATATTTACTTTACTTCACTTATGAGCGGCGATGGTATTTATAATTATAATCATATTATATTATTATTTAATACTATTAATATATTTCTTGAAGAAGTGAGCAAATATTTACTTTACTTCACTTATGAGCGGCT